GTTCCTGACCAGTCACCTCCTTGTGGACTCAAACACCCTATAGATGAGTCTGGGGGACATCCCTGACTCTCTGTTCTCTGGCCGCCTCAATTCCGTCCATTCTGCCTCATTTGTGCCACCCCCCCCCCTTGTCCGCAGCAAGAACTGCCTCCCTGACCAGGGATTGGCCATGCAACCTTGGCGTATTGGAAAGACACTCTAACCAACAGAGCTAGCCAGCCATAGCGTCTTTGCGTCCCTTAATGTCATACATTTTCTGTTTCTTTGCTTAATTAAAAAGATGAAAGAGCCCTGGCTGGTGTGACTCTGTAGATGAACCAGAGGATGCCGCTTCCATTCCTGTTTCCCCAGCCCAGGCCGTGCAGGAGGCAGCCGATTGATGATGTTCCTCTCTCATCAATGTTTCTATCTCTATCCCGCTCCCTTCCTTTTTCTTGGAATTAAGGAAGGGAGGAAAGAAGGGAGGGAGGGAGGTCGAGGCAAGCACATCCTTAAGACAGACCAGAGAAGAAAGCCACCACTAATGAAGGAAGGAACCCTTACTAAGGCATCCGTAGTGCCAGGCATTCCAAGTACATCAGATAAATTAACTTCCTTCCCCGTTGGTCAACACAACGCTGTGAGAGCAGCTGTTACCGCTACAGGCATCTGACCACAGAAGCTCTGACAAAGAGAGGTGAGAGTGGGTCAGTATCGGGCAGAGCTGGAATCTGGATCTCCTCCTTCTAAAACCCCTGCCGGCTCTCCCAGCTCAGGGAAGGCACTGGGGGAGGAGGGACGGAGGGGGCGTGTCGCGGTGGGAGCACCTGTGGCTGAGATGAACTTGTTGTAGTTCTCATAGACCAGGGTCTGCATGTCGCTGTCTAGAGCCCGGATCTGCCGCACCATGTCCGTCTCACTGTCCATCAGCTGCGCCAGGGGGCACTCTCTCCGCAACTGGAGGAAACGGGGTGTTCAGTGCTCAGGTCAGAGGGCACTGAGCCTTGCCCCTAGCTGGAAGGCTTTCGGTGCAAGAAAACCCTTTTCCCACCCTTATGAGAATCCGAAATGGAGCCTATGAGTGGCATAGCTCAGGAGTTACTAGGTTTGGGGAGCCACATGTGGGGTTTGTCAGCCTTTGAAATCCTCAGATTCCTCCGAGGCCCAGTCCGGAGCCTGACGGCGGCAGGGCCACACCCGCCATCCGGGGCTGTCAAACGTCAGGGGCCTCCGACCCCGGCCAAACCCGCCCTCGCCCCTTGGCCTCCAGCTTCGTCCCAGCAGCCTGGCCGGGGGTCGTCTTCCTTTTACTTCGTAACAGTCGGGCATGTTCTGGGGGTGCAATTTACCGGGGCCTGGTGCCCGCCCCCTTTCCCCTCCCCCCCATAAGCTTACCTTGTCCAGATACACTTCCGGGTCGAAGTGCGCCCCATTGAGATCTGTCGGGTCCAGGGGGTCCGACCCCGGGGCGCGCCCCGCCGCCTCCCCCTCCGAGAGGCCGTAGTAAAGCTTCAGCATCCCGTGCGCCTTCCGGCGCCGCTCCGGGGCCTCGGCTTCCGGCCCCTCCGGGGAGTCCCCGGGGCCCGGCCCGGCGGCGGCCGCCGCCATCGCGCCACCCGCAGCCCACCCAGGGAGGCGGGCGGAGGCACTTCCGGGAACCACGAAGTGGTGGAAGCGAGGCGGTCCTTCGGGAGAAACGTTCCGCCGCCGCCCTGGGTCCTTCGAGATTAGAGTCCCCCCGCTTCGTTCCTCCTCGAGCGAAGAGGTTCCGAGGGAGCCCTTGGTTCCGCCAGCTTCTCAGGAGGAGAGAAGGCAGGTGTGGCCCCCGACCTGCTCCCCCGTCTCCCCCACCCCCACCCCGAAGACAAGGACCCGCTTTCTGCAGAGTCAGAGGGCTTGTGCCTGGCCTCCTGCCACTGCCTGGGTTCCATTGCCACCCCAATTCCTCAAATTGGGTCCAGTCTTCACAGGGGAGTTGGGAGAATTAAATGCACACACGGTCCGCCACTCGGTGCCTCCGGTGCAGCCTCAGGAAGCCTGGCTCTCTGACGGCGTCAGAATTGCCTGGGGTGTGTTTTAAGACTGGGCTCTCCCCGGACCTAGCAGCTCCTTTTAAAAAAGTCCCCAGAGAGTTCTAGTGCACTCAAATATACCGTGTTTAGAAGACAGACTCAGCAGATCCTAAGTGACTGAGAGGATGTGCTGAGTGAGGGGTTGAGTGGAGACTTGACCATAATTCTCAGGTTTCTGACTTGGGTAAAGGTGCCGGTTCACCAAGATGAAGAGCTCAAGAGGACGGGGTGACTAGGAGTCATGGCGAGTTTGAATGGAACTGGTGGCCTTTTGGTGCAGGTGGCCTTCTGTTGCTATAGCATCCCATGCACTGAGAGGCTGTAGGTTCAAGTCCCGTTTTCGGGCTTGATCCCCAGTAGGGAACATGAAAGAGGCAGCCAATTGATGTTCCTCTCTCTCTTTAAAATAAACAAAACCAGATTTACATTTTAAATGGCATTGAGCTAGGAGCCCTAATATTTGTTTGTAGTCAAAGGAGAACTGAGGTGCAATTGTTACCACAGTGGGACCATGGCTGGGCATTGGGACATCACCCCTCTAATGTCAGGAGGGAGCTCTGAGGGGCTGTTGTGATCAATGACACTGGGCAGCAAGCATGGACGGTGAGGTCAGGCTCTAACCCTACCCGTTGGAGGCGGAAGACTTTGGGCCGTGACCTGATCTGGGACCTAATGTCCCAGGCAGACAGCAATGGGGATGGACAAGTTCAACATTAAATCCTCCCTCTTCACCTTTAGTTGTGGGGAACTTACATGTCCCTTTATGCCATTTCTGGCCATTTTTCAGGCTTATTTTGTTGACAGCCTTGGAGGTTTTTTTGAAATATATTTTATTGATTTTTTTTACAGAGAGGAAGAGAGAGGGATAGTTAGAAACATCGATCAGCTGCCTCCTGCACAACTCCTACTGGGGATGTGCCCACAACCAAGGTACATGCCCTTGATGGGAACCGAACCTGGAACCTTACAGTCTGCAGGCCAACGCTTTATCCTGAGTCAAACTGGTTAGGTTGGAGGGTTTTTAAAAATATATTTTTATTGATTTCAAAGAGGGAGAGGGAGAGGGAGAGACAGAAACATCAATGATTGGCTACCTCCTGCACTCCCCAACTAGGGGCTAAGCCCACAACCCAGGCATATATGGAATCAAACCCAGATCTCCTGGTTCATCAACCACTGAGCCACACTGGTCAGGCGAGTTTTATTCTCTTATATGTAGGGCGGAAATGTTTTCCTCATGGCTTCTGTCTCTTCTCTTTCCACAGCCACAGGTAGAACTAGATCTTAGTCTCAGTACTGACTCTCACTCATTGGCTGTGAAAGCTTGAGCTGACAATCCCTCCCTGTACCCCCAATTCCTGTGTAAAATAGGATTTATGCCACCAGCCCCAGCTTTCTCCTGGGACTCTTGGGATGAGACAATGGGTGTGAAAATGCTCTGAGTGCAGGAAGGTGGCAGAGGGGGAAGCTGGTCAGGTCAAGTCTTGAACATCTGGGGAGAGGACATCTGGGAAAGCCAGTATTTCTTGGGGCCACATCTAAGGAGGGCATGGGGAAGGTCCTGGGACAGCCATGGGAAATCTGTGGTGCCTCCCTTTCCCTCAGTTCTGGTAGGCGCTGAAGCAAATATCTGGAGCTTGTGAGCCTAGGCCTCCCTCACCTGGGACACCGCCCCCTTCTCACACACACACACACACACACACACACACACACACTCACACACAGTTTCCTGAGCTGCAGTTCTTCACCTGCAGTGTGTGCTACTGCCTCCTCATGGAGCTGTGAGAGGACTCGGTGAGGAGACATGCAAAGTACAGAGGTGGGGTGATGTGGAGACGCTGTTCCTTCAACACCACAAGACCTACTGATGTGTACCGTTGGCCCACCACCCTCCACAATTCGCAGCTCCCCTGGCCACCCGTGGAACACTCCTCCATTGGCTGGAACCAGCCCGTGTTCTAGAACCTTGTCTCCTCCTAAGTGTCCTCCTGGTTCTAGAATCCCACTGCCATTTGAGACAGTGCACTCTAGAAGCAGAGGGGTCAGCTGCTCTTCCTCGCTCAAAGCTCCACTGACCGCAGTGTGGGCTGCTGCCGGGATGCGGTGGCGGGACCGTATAGTGACGCTGTTCTTCCCGAAAGGCATGGTGCTCACCATGGCTGCGCTGCTGCTCTTCTTTCTGCACCTGTCCATCTTTGTCAGCGACGTGTACAACTTCTGCTTCACCTACCACTACGACCGCATGAGCTTCCGTTACACAATTGTCCTGATGGTAGGCGAGGGCAGGGGCTCACGGGCTGGCTGGGGGAAGCCCGGGGGCTGATGGGAACCCCAGGTGTGCCAGAGGGTCACTCTCCCACTGGGTGGGGCCTGCAGTTCTCCAAGGTGTTGAGCATCTGCTGGGCCGCCATGGGGTCCCTCTACGCTGAGATGGAAGATTACAAGATTGCTCGGTGCTTTGCCCTGGTCATCCTGAGTGAGTGAGGGAATGGGGGCCTCTGGAACCCTGAAAAGTGGCAGGGAAGGCTGATGGGGGCTCTCTCCTCCGCTCAGTGCTCAACGCAGCCATGTTCTTCAACCGCCTGTCCCTGGAGTTTCTGGCCATGCAGTACCGGGAGGAGAGCCACTGAGGCTCGGGGATTGGGTTGCGAAGGGGGAAGGAAAAGGAGGCTTGGGGAATTTTAATAAAGTCTGCCATTTATTTCCACCTGTCAGCTCCTTCATGGGTTGGGGGTGGGAGGCCAGAGACCAGGGGAAGCAGGTCAAGACGGACACTTGATCTGCAGGGACCCCAGGCCCCGCCTACAGCCACTCTAGTGGACTCGGCTTTGGTCCGGGATCTTAGTGTCTCAGACTTGAGGAAGAGGAGCAGCGAGAAGGCCCGCAGACCTGCCCATCTCCCCTTTTCGGGGCCCCAGGTCCTACGCTGGCCCAGCCACAAGCAAGGGCTCAGGAGGGACCCACACGGATGTGAGGGTTCATGAGGGGGTCCAGGTTGGGATCATTGTCAGCTGCAGCCCGGCCCAGGCGAGACATGAGGGCAAGAAGGGCCAGGAAGCCCAGCAGTCCCAGCAGCAGCAGCAGCCCCGCCCGCTGGAGCAGGGTCAGCGGCCGTTTACGAGACCCGTCCCGGCTCCTGGGGGGACGAGGGGAAAGTCAGATCAGGCCCCCAGTCCCTGGTGGCCCCGTGGCCTGGAGAAGAGCCCTGATCACGACACTCATCTCCTGGCCTCAGCGCCTCACTCCTGAGCCTCACTCATTTCCTCCAGTGAGGTCAGCCCCGTCCCTGCCCACTAAAGGGTGACTGCCGCTGGCACCAGCTGAGGAATGACAGGCCTGGAAACGGGGGGTGTCAGGCATGGGGACAGTCACAGACTGGATGGTGTTGAAGCGGGAGGGGACCTCAAAGAGCCTGAGTCCAAACCTCATATGTAAAAGCCAAGACCGAAGACTTTTTTTGTCAAGCGGAAGCCTCTCTACACAGCCCCGCGCCTGGGCGCCCAGGTCAAGCCCCCTTTGTCACAAAATCCTTGTGCCCGGAGCCTCTGGCTCTCCCTTCCTCTCCTCCCCCTTCCTGGCATCCTAACCCTGTGTACCTGAGCAGCTGGGCCAGCCAGCCCAGGGCAGGCCGGCGGCGGTACTTGTCATCATCGCAATCCCTGTGGAGGCCTGGCGCCCGGTCATCGTCCCGCGTGTCATACACCTTCCTTGGGGCCGAGGCTGCGAGGGCAGAGCCACGAGCATGCACAGGCTCAGGGAAACCGCCCCACAGCAGGAGATCCTGGCCCTTTCGGAGCCTGAGATTACGTCTCAGAATTGTGGGTCGGTAACGTCTGTGCTTGGAGTGAGGAAGGGTCCCTCCCGTGGGTCTCTGGGGCCCTGAGCTCCGGCCACCCGCTCCACTCCCCCAGCCCAGGCAATCCCCTGGCTCACCGTGCGTCAGGGGCTCAGAGCTGCCCATGTGGATCACCGTGTGCTGCTCAGGCCGGCCGGGGGACGCGGGGGGCCGGGGGGCTTGGCTGTAGAAGGCTGGGGCAGAAGTGCTGGCTGTCTCTTCTTGTGCAGAGGTGCTGGCTGTGGCAGGAAGACAGCTGTCAGCAGGGCAGGGAGGCGAGGGCCCCAGCAGCAGGCGGAGACCACCACTCACCGTTAAAGCTGGACCAGTCAGAGAAGTCGGAAGTGCTGAGGGGCTCGGGCTCTGGGCTCACCACCTCATCGATCTGGAGGAAGGAACCCGTCTCAGCAGCTGCTCAGTGCTGTCCCCACTCACTTACTTGGCCCAAGACAGATGGGCAGACAGACAGAGGGACTCTCACCAGAGGAAGGCCCAGTCCTGCCCGGGCCCAGTTGACCGTAGTCAGCTTCTCTCTCAGCACAGAGGCCACAGGACCAACCAGGTTGCTTGGGGGGAAGATGGGGCCGCTGCAGCTGGGACACTGGTAGCCAGCAGGAGCTGTGTTTCGGGGTAGCTGGGCAGCACGTTCATTGAGGCAGGCCCAATGGAAGAGATCTGGAGGCCCAGGAAATAGCACAGAAGAGGCATGAGGAAGAAGACACTTTAGGCTCTCACCCAGCACCAGCCCCCAGCCCATTGCAGGGATCTACTCACACATATGTGTAGCTCAGAGCCGCCTCCTTCCCATCCTCCCCTTAGGTCCATTTCACCAGTGTTCCCTGAGCCTTCAGCCTTATTGGCTACCACCATCCCACTAAGTCAAAACAGATGCTACAACCCTCCCCCCCAGCCCACTGCGGGGTGGGGGTAGGTGGGAAGCATTTGCCAATCAAGAACAGTTTCAGAAAAGCTTCCTAGACACTCACAGAGGCACAAATGTGCTTGCACACACCAATGGGCACAAATATACATAATCAAACACAGATGCCAACTCACACATACACACTTATACATGCACTTGTTTGCTAATACTTGAGCACCCTCATCCACACATTCTCCTGCAACCCCACAACACACTTGTAGCCATGTTCACACACATTTACCCACTCACCTATAAGTTTTTTTTTTTAAATATATTTTATTGATTTTATACAGAGAGGAAGGGAGAAAGATAGAAAGCCAGAAACATCGATGAGAGAGAGTCATCGATCAGCTGCCTCTTGCACACCCCCCACTGGGGATATGCCCGCAACCAAGGCACATGCCCTTGACCGGAATCGAACCCGGGACCCCTCAGTCCCCAAGCCGACGCTCTATCCATTGAGCCAAACTGGTCCCGGCTCACCTATAAGTTTTAATGAACACACTGACACTTATGTAAAGACACATGCACATAAAATTCATGCACATATATCCACATCCTGACACTAAAAGACACTTATGGAGTTCACTCCTTCAAAAAGTGGAACTAAGACCAACTGATGTGTGTCTCTCACATCGATGTTTCTCTCTCTCTGTCTCTCCCCCTCCACTCTCTAAAAATCAATGGAAAAATATCCTTGGATGAGGATTAACAACAAAAAGTGGAACTAAGACTCTTAGATCAGAGTCAGGTCAATGTCATAACACGTCTGCTGACTTCTTTCATCAGACTTCACTGTGGGAAACTCCTTTCTTTTCTATTCAATCTGGGAATCAGCAATGAATCTTTTTTTTTTTTTTTTTTTATCCTCACCTGAGGATTTTTAAGAGTGAAAGGGAGGAAGGAGGGGGAAGAGAGCAACATTGATGTGAAACAGGCACATTGAGCCCTAGTTGGTTTGAGTCGGTTGATAGAGCGTTGGCCTGTGGACGAAGGGTCCCAGGTTTGATTCCAAGTCAAGGGCACATGCCTGGGGCTGTGGGCTTGATCCTCAGTAGGGGGTGTGCAAGAGGCAGCCAATCAATGATTCTTTCTCATCACTGATGTTTCTCTCTCTTCCCCTCTCCCTTCCTCTCTGAAATCAATAAATATGTATACACATTTTTAAAAAAGAGACACATTGATTGGATGCCTCCCACATGCACCCCAACCAAGGTCTGGGATCAAACCTGCAACCAAAGTACGTGCCCTTGACTGGGAATCAAACCCAAGATCCTTCAGTTCACAAACCAACACTCTAATCACTGAGCAAAACTGGCCAGGGCTTGCCAAAACCGGTTTGGCTCAGTGGATAGAGTGTCAGCCTGTGGACTGAAGAGTCCCAGGTTTGATTCCGGTCAAGGGCATGTACCTTGGTTGCAAGCACATCCCCAGTACGGGTTGTGCAGGGGGCAGCTGATGTTTCTGACTCTCTATCCCCTCACTTCTTCTCTATAAAACATCAATAAAATTTATTTAAAAATAAAAACTAGCCAGGGCTCAGTAATGAATCTTGAATGCCTAAAAGTCCCATGCTTCCAGCTCATGCCTGGTCTGGCCAGCTACTGCTTACAGACACAAACACACCACACGTTTGACTGATTTCAGGGAAAGACACTGAGGCCTAGGAAGGGAACTCGTCTGAGTTAACTCGTCTGAGTTAACACAACATGTAAGTAGCCTAGCAAGTCTGGGAACTTGGGCTGCAACCTCCTCAGCTAGGCAGTCGCACTGTCCTGCTGTCTGCAGAGGGCGTGGGAACCAGCCACCAAGATGGGCCTGTCCCAGGACTCACCATAGCAGACAAGGCGGGTCGTCTCTCGCGAGGCCAGGGGTGTGTTGCACAGGCGGCAATTGGAGCTGTAGTCACTATCTTGGAGCCACTGCAGGTAAGACTGTACGATGCACTGAGTGGGAGAGAGAGGTCACAACTGAGCAGGGCTCCACATCCCAGCCACCCAGGGCCCAATGGTCTGACTCTCATCGCGAAGACTTCCCACATTTGTTCAATTAATAAACATTTACTGAGCACATACGGTGTGCCAGGTTATATCTTAAGGGCTAGAGGTATAGCAACGAATCAAATACATAAAGTCCTTGCCCTGGTGGATCTTCCATTCCAGCGCCTGGCCCTTCATGGATTCGGAAGCAGCCAATACCACCTGCCCTCCCAGTGCCCTGCTCAGCCGCTCTTTTAAAGGCCCCACCTTGGCGTGATTGGCTACCAGGCAGTGCTCGCAGACGTTGACCCGGTGTTCGAAGCAGAATAGGTTTGTCACCTTCCTCTTGGGGCACTTGCAAAGCCCCATGGTCCACCCTGAAGAAGGGGCCTGGGTTGGTAGGGAGCCAGGTTCTGGTGGCCGCCCCTAGGCACTTTGCAGCCAAGCTCGTTTCTACACCCCCAGACACTCTCACATTGGTGCCAGCCCCAATTTTCGGTCCAGCGCCCCTCTTCACTCCGGACCACGCCCCCGGCTTAAATCCCTCCTCCAAAGACCCCCCTCATTCCTCCGGAGTCCCGGCCCGGGCAGGCTCCTCCATCAGCGTCCCCAGATACCACCGGCCCCGCCCCCAGGGCCCCTCCCGGGCCCCACCCCTCCAAGCCCCGCCCCCACTTTCTGCACAGCCCCCACCCTCAGTGTTACTGGTGCACCGCGGCCCCGGTCCCGAGGAGCGGGAGCGCCGGTCCGAGGGCCAGACACCGCGCCCCGCCGACCTCCGGCTCAGCTCTTTCCAGCTCGGGCCGCCCCGACTGTCCCTCCGCTGCCACGTCTCTTCCGGGTGCGGCGCGTGCGGCGCGTGCGGCGCGTGCGGATGACGCAAGCACGCCGTTGGCCCCGCCCCTGAGACGCTCTACGTGGTGACGGCCGTCTTTCTCCCTCCCGCCTTGCGTCACTTCCGCTTCCTCACGGGGAAGGCGGGTAGTTCGAACGTTTCTGCGTCGGAGGAGCCTGGCGGTTGGTGCCAGCCCCACCACCCTCGGTGGCGGCGCGGCCAAGGTCGAGGCCGAGGATGTCCGGGAGGCGGACGCGGTCCGGCGGGCCCTACCAGGGCTCCGGTGAGCGGAGGGCGCGCGGGAGGGATGGGCCCCAGTGTTTGAGGGACGCAGCTTCCCTCCCCCTCGCGCCCGAAGAGGCTCGGACTGACCGGGAAGGCGCCCCCGACGGGCCTGTTTGCGAACCTTCTGTCTCTTTTCCCCAGAGCCGAGGGCCTCACTTCCTACTCAGGCTCTGCGGAGGTCTCAGCGGAAATCCGGCTCTGATCTTCCCACCATCCTCCCTGACATCTGCCCGAAGGTGAGTGAGCGAGCCCGGGGTTCCTCAGGTGCTTCCCCTGAGGCGCCTCCTTCCCCAGAGGCCCCTGGGCTCGGACAGAGCTCATGGTCACCCCTCCTCTCCAGGAACCTCATGCGACGCCACTCAGAAAGCCCATCGTCTTGAAGAAGATTGTGGCTCATGCTGTACAGGTGAGGGCTGAGAGCGGGGTTGTGGGTGGGGAGCAGAACGGGGGGAGCTGGCTGTGGGATCAAGTAGTGTTGTTTCCACAGATCCCAGCTGTGGACTCGCCTCGGAGGAGCCCTCGGGTGAGTTCATTTTCATCTGCTTTGCTACCTGGAATCCAGGACATTCTGCAGCTGGGAGGGGCATGGTGTCTGCTCACATCCGCTTAGGGTGCTGTTTGCAGCATTTTGAAAGTTTGTCTTTCCATGTCTGTATGCATTGCCAACCTTGCTTCCTCTTGTAGACTTACTAGGTCTTGATACCCTGGTATCCTCTACGTTTTCCTTCTAGCCCCACCCCCCACGTAGGCCTTCCCCACTCTGTTGTTCGCGGCCACGGGTTATGCAAACACTTCGGGCTTCCAGGGAGTAATGCGGGAGGCGTTCTCTCTTCTGTCCTGGTAGATTGCGTTTTCCTTGGAAAAAGAAAACAATCCTCCTACCAAGGAGCCCACGAAGGCAGACCTCTTCAAGAAATACAGTGTCCCTGCCACTCCTGTGCAAAGCCCAGATGTTGTTGAATCCAACTCCAGCGAAGGAGACCTGGACACCAGGGACTTGGACATGTCCAAGAAGGTCAGGCGGTCCTATAGCCGGCTGGACCCCCTCTGTGCCTCCACCTCCACCTCCACCCCGGGCCGCCCATCCTGCTTTGGCTTCGAGAGGCTGCTGGGGACAGAAGACCTGGCTGGAGTCTCGCCTTTGGTGTGTTCAAAGTTAACCGAGGTCCCCAGGGTCCCTGGGGATCCTTTGGTCCCAGATACGACTCTCCCTGGAATTTCCCCGCCCGTGAAAGAGAAGAAGAAGAAGAAGAAGGTGCCGGAGATCCTGGTGAGTGAGGGGCAGGGGCCTTCCTCTGCTGTCGTGCAGACATCCTGGGAGAGGCCAGGACACGTGAGGGGCTGGGGCTCGGTTCTGGTTGTTTTGGGGGAAAGACAGCACCTGTGTGCAGGGCGTGGGTAGCCATGCTCCAGACAACATGTCCTCTTCCCCACTCACCTGCCTCCCATTTCTCTTCCCTCAGAAATCGGAGCTGGATGAGTGGGCTGCAGCCATGAATGCTGAGTTTGAAGCTGCTGAGCAGTTTGATCTCCTGGTTGAATGAGATGAAACTGGGGTGCACCTAGCCAGACTTCCTTCCCCCTGTACATAGCCTCTTCTTCCTGTGCAACAGACACTTGGGGTCCCCTTCCCTGGCCTCGTTACCTGTGCGTGTGCTGTTGCTGCACGTGAAGTCCGCCCTTGAGTGTTTGTGCGGTGGCAGCTGTAGGAAATAAGGTTCGCCTGGCTGGTGTCCTGGCCAGTTTCCAGTTGGGCTAGAAGTGGGAGGGAGACTCACTGGCCCAGCAGGAAGAGGTTACAGGGCTGAGGATTGTGGGTGAGAGCATCTCTACTGTTTGGGAATGTGGCTGCCCTGTGCCAGCCCCAACAGAAATGCATCCCCAGCCCAGCCTGTGTGGCTCAGTGATTGAGCATCAACCTATGAACCAGGAGGTCATGGTTCGATTCCTGGTTGAGGTACGGGTCTGGGTTGTGTGTTCAATTCCCAGTGTGGGGCATGCAGGAGGTAGCCAGTCAATGATATCTCTCCCTTTCTCTCTGGAGTCAATAAAAGTATATTTAAAAAGAAGAAGAAAAAAAAACAGGCACCCGCAGGCTCAGGCTTCCCCTGCTGAGTTGCCTTCTGTTTGTGGCTTGGTTCCATCTATGTACGAAGGCTTGGGTTTTCTTAGATTCTGTAGATGGTCCGGGAGCGGATTTGTGGGTTTGGGACAGTTCTAACTGAGGAAGAAGCTGGACTCTCAGGCAATAGAATCGGGTTTAGGAGAGTGGGAAAGCCTTCGTTGGCTTCAGACCACAGGCGTTTACTCCTTAGAAACTATTTAATATTTCTGTGTTCTGCTGTTGAGATATTTGGCTAAAAACAAGGCCAATGGAGTGCTGGCCACATAGGGCAAAGGGTATGGGGGTAAGGCACCAGGTACCACAGGTTCCAGCCTCTATAGAACCTGCGGCTCGGCTGGGAAGGGGCCCACGGCAGGAGGTGCCCCCTCTCGTCATGCACATCTGTTTCTTACAAACTAACGTTCACACTCTACTCAGCTCTAGAACAAAACATGCAGGTGAAGCAGTCCTAGTCCCACTGGCATTTTGCAGCTACACATGTGAAGTTCTAGGAAGCTTTTCTCACATACCCGAAGAGGCAGCAGTCAATTCTGTCATTAGTGCTCTGTCACAGGAGGACACGGCCTGGGCAGGTGCTAGGAGTTGAGCCAGGGGACAGAGAAAGATCACCTCCTGTCTTCGGGGAACCCACCCCCACCATTTCTCTTCTCAGTGCTGGTAAGGGCTGCCCACCCACACTGCTCCATCCCCACGTGTTGAACTTGGCACATGTACAGGTCTGTGGAAGGAGAGGCTGTGAATAGCAGGGTGTCAGGGAAGAGAGGCTTGTTCAGTCACCTGCACGGCACTGATAAAGCTCCACGCGGCCTGGGAGGTCCAGCCTACCTGTTCCACGCTTTGTGCTTTGTCAGATCTCACAAGCAAGCCCCCTGGCAGGTGGGCCAGATTCCGCACCTGAAGGTTCCTCCTGCCTGGCTGGTGGGCAGGACAGAACGGTTTTAGGCCTGTGGGGTCAGGAGTAGCCAGGTGATGAGTTGATGTCATTGCTGCAAACTTCTCTTCCTGAAAAACTAAGAAAGTGGAGTGTTAAGAGATTTTTCTTTTTAAAAAATAAACTTGGTTGAAGAGTTTGTTCTGAGATTGTGTTTCTTTCTGTGGGTCAGAGGCAGAGCTGAGGATGTCAGGCCCAGGAAGCTAAGCCTTTGGGCTGTGTCACAGGATTGACCCCATTTCCCATGTCTTTCTATCCAGTTGCTCACACCATTCTTCCAAGGCTGGGCTCCTTGCCCCAAGGGGAGTTCCAGGGTAAGGTGCTAAAAGCTTCGCCCAGAGCCTGGGAGCACCCCTCCTCCATCCTGAGTCAGGCCCTGTTTCCCTTCCCCGTCCCCAGGAGCCTGCTCCTCGCGCTGGTGCAGAAGCCCCTGGGAAACTAGTCAGGTATCCATGCATTTGCACAAACCAGTCTTGTCAGGTCTACATGTGTCCCTGCCTCCTGGACCGAGCAAATCAAAACCTTAAAGTCTGTACAGCTCCCACCCCTTTTTCCCCCTCCTCGCCTCACCGAGGGAAGCAGCTTCCTTCTCCAAGGCCACGCTTCCCACTTTGGCTTTTGATCCAATTCTGTCATCTGAGCCCTGTGCCTCTCCCCTACAAGTGAGGTCTGGAAGGTTGGCAGCCGCTGCTCTATCCACTGAGCCAAACCAGCTAGCGCTGCTTAAAGCCTTTTGATACAATTCCACTCTGGGTGTAACCAAAATAATTGAAAGTGGGGTCTTGAAGAAATATTTGTACATCCATGTTCATAGCATGGCTCACACTAGACAGAAAAGGTGGGAACACCATAAATATCCATTGATGGATGAATGGATCAACAAAATGCAATATGTAGGTTATTCAGCTCTATCAATTTCAAAAGGAATGAAATTCTGATACATGCTACAACATGGATGAAGGATGAATCTTGAAAACACAATGATAAATGTCATGGGCTATACACAAAAGGACAAATATATGATCCCACTAATAAGATACTGGAAGCAGTCAAATTCATGGAGACGGAAGTAGAATGATGGTGAGTGCCAGGGGGTGGAGGAGGGCAAATGGATCATTATTTACCTAGAGGCCTGGTGCACTGGTGGGTAGCATGGCCTGAGGAGAATGGCCCGCTGTGGGAGCAGCTGTTCCGAGTCAGCTGAGGAGCACTCCACTGACCACCAGGGCACAGCTCCTGCATTGAATGTCTGCCCCCTGCTGGTCAGTGAATATCATAGCAACTGGTCGCTGGGCTTTTGTTATATGGGATGTGTATAGAGTTTTAGTTGGGCGGGGGGGATGAAAAAGTTCTAGAGATAGATAGTGGTGATGGCTGCACGGCAATGTGATGTACAGCTTTATGTATTTTATGTCACAATAAAATTTTTGAAAAATACCCTTTGGTGATTTTTCATTGTCCATGCAGTATCATAATGATGGTTAGTGGGTTTTAGCTGCTCAGTACTTCAGTCTCTGCAAGTGAGCTGGCTGCATGGGACATGCTTACACAAAAATTGTTCAGTTTATCTGGCATTGAAACTTACCTAGCTCATGCTGCTTTCCAGCCGAGGGCCCCACATCTTCGACACCATCCTGCCCCAGCTGTTCTTTCTGGATTGCCCTTCACTGGCCAGGATACCCCCTTGTTGAAGACCAAGCAGCGCCTCCCTGATGGAGTCTGCCTGGAGCTCCTCAGCCAAGTGTGTGACCAGGGCTTTCTGTCCGGGCCTCTATGGCACATCTCCCTGCACAGGATCCCTGCGAACCTGGGCCCTCTCATCCCCTGGAGTTCCTCTGGGGCAGAACCAGATCACTATCATCTGTCTGTATGTTCTCGGGACCCGGCCTGAGGCCTGAGACCTGTTGGTCAACCAGTGCTTCCTGGGGACCATTAATTGCAGCGTGAATTGTATTTTGTTATGTTTATACATCATAATTTATTTACCTTTTCTTATATTTTAGCCGTTTAGGTCAGTTTTAGTTTTTCTTCTTGGTGTAAATCAGCCACTGTGGGCCTCTGTACAAATTTTATTTCTTTTGGAGTCATTTCTTTAGCCCTAGTTTCCAAAGCAAAGTTAACTCGGAAGCATTCTCAGGCTCAGCCCTGCTCTGACTCCTCTGCCGACCCAGCTAGGGAATACCAGGGAAGGCAATTTTGCTCAGCAGAGAAAAGTATGGTCCGAATTCAGATAGCAGAAGGGGATGTGAATGTACTTAATGCCAATGAACTGTACACTTAAAAGTGGTTAAAATGGTAACTGGGAATGGGGTGAACATTATGGGCAAGAGCATGGCACTGGGGAAGGTTTGGCATGGTGTTGGGAAGTGAGACTCCTGGCTGGTAATGAGCAGAGTATCGTGTGGGTTAGAACCAATGATGTCTGTGACAGAGGGTCTTGAATGCCATATTAATCACTTCTCCATGTCCAACTAATAGCTGATTTCTATACCAAAAATGAGAGGCATTCTCCACGGTTTACAAGTTTCTCTAGGGTTCCATTAAATAGTGCCGTTCCAGCCCCCCAATCCAGCCCCCAGCCCTTGCAGGGATCTGGTCAGCTGGACAAGAATTGGTGATAGAGCCGAAACTGGTTTGGCTCAGTGGTAGAGCATTGGCCTGCGGACTGAAAGGTCCTGGGTTCAATTCCGGTCAAGAGCATGTACATTGGTTGCAGGCACATTCCCGGTAGGGAGTGTGCAAGAGGCGGCTGGTTGATGTTTCTCTCTCATCAATGTTTCTAGCTCTCTATCCCTCTCTCCTCCTCTCTGTAAAAAATCAATTAAAAAAAAATATATATAAAAGAATTGGTGATAGAGACTCTCCAGGCTGGAGGCTGCCCCACGATAACCAGATGAGGCTGGAAAGCAGAGCTCCTGGGTTGATGGATGTGGCTTACCTACTGGGCTCTGTCTTCCTCAGTCTCCCCAGAGCGGACCAGAAGCCCATTCTGAGGCCGTGGAGGAGCCAGTGGTGCAGCCTGTTGAGCAGGAGAACCTGGAAGAACCTGGAAGCCCTCTGTGCCCAGCTCAGGTCTGTGGGGAGCTGGGCACAGAGGTGGCAGGAGGGCTGGAGAAATGCTTCTTTCCCTGCTGGGAGGAGACCGAACCCCCAGCCAATGCCCCAGGGTGTGGGGGGACCCAAGCTCTTGGGCTGCCAGCCGCGTGTCACTTTGGTCACCATGACACCTTCTCTGCCAAAGCCATCTTCTTCAGAGTCAAAGCAGGACCTGCAACCAGAACCCACGGTCAAGTTCCTGTTTACACTCCTGAGCTCGGTGGAGCCCTCTGAGCCCAAAGACCCTCAAGCGTAAGTCTGTGTGAGTGTGAGAAGGGGAGGACACTCATGGTGCTTCTCTCCCTCCTCCCAACCCCCATGTTAACACTCAGATCTGGGCCAGGGCTCAGCCCTGGGGTGGGCAGCAGGGACGCCCAGATAGGGCTGTAGGAGCCTGGGCCTTGGGCTGCCCCACCTCTCTGACCTCCCAGTTCTCTCCCAGCCTATTGATCCTCCAGCCTGACCCTCACTGCAAACCCATCCTAGGGAATTTGAGGCCCTGGAGAGCCGGTTCCTGGATGAGGAAGACTGGGGCAGCCGGCAAACCTCAGAGGAAATTAGCCACTTGCAGGACGCTTGCATGAGGTGAGCCAGGTCTGGGCAGGTGCCAGCAAGTAGGGTGACAGGACTTTTCCCCAAGGAGGTCATGGCCTGGGGCTTGCCCCTCTTTCCTCCCTCCTTCCCTGGGCTACTCTGGAGACCTCCTCGGCCCACAGTCTCCTTCCTCCCAAGCATCAGGTCCCTGTATGTTGGTGTGGCCCCCTACAGGTCTGGGGGCCACAACTCTTTCCTAGCAATTGACTGTGTGCCCACATGCCTGCTTATTGGGCAATCTCCTAATAATCAGCTTAAAAATGAATATCCCAAAAGGCAATTTTGGGGTGGTAAAGCTGTGGTTCCCCTCAATAAGACTGGACTCTGGGTGAGACCCTGGTCGCAGGTGGCTGTGCCAGGTCACACAGCTCACGCAGGAGGCATGGGTTGGGGGTGGGGCTGCCTAGGACAAGAGCCTGGGGGCTGAGGGGGCATCTCTTTCAACCCTAGACTTCAGGAGTCCATGAGCACTATTCAAGCAGACAATGTGGCCCTGAAGGAGAAGCTGCAAAACCTGGTGAGGCCCTCAGCCAGGACTTCCTTCCTTTGCCATCCTCCTCCCTGCTTCCCAGCCCAGCTCCCTGCTGGGAGCCTCAGGCAGTCCTCCCACGGTCAGCTGCCCACCTCTCACCCCTGCAACCCTTTGTTCTAGCCCGACTTGGTGTACAACATCCTAGTGGAGGAACTGAAGGCTGCCCAGGAGGAAGACCAGGACGCCCAGGAGGAAGAGCAGGCCGGCCACGAAACATGGCTGTTCCAGGTGGACAGGCAGCCCCACGGCGAGTGGTGAGGGGGGCACACCTCTCTCCCCTTGCCAGCAACAGCCCAACGTCCAGAGGAGCCCTGCCCCGCTGTGGCCTGCTGCTGCCCATGACCACAGAAACCAACTCAGCCTTGAACAGCCCGAGGCCAGAGATGGGCACCTCAGGAAGCCACTCCGACAGCAATAAACTTCCCTAGAGCTGAGCCGTGTGTCTGTGAGACCCTGCGAAGCAGGTGGAGCGGGAAGCCACCAGCTCCTGGATGCCCTCTGCTGGCTCCCACGTGGTTTGCTGGTGCTGAGCTTCCCCCACTCTGAGAGGTTCCAGGTCTGGTCCGCCTCAGCCTCAAGGTCATGTACCTGCGATAAGCAGGGGGGCGGGACTGGAAGGGGCCACACCCCTTTGGAGGAGGATGGAGGTACCAGGTCTAACTCCAAAGGGCGGATGTTCTAGGGAGGGGCGAGAAGAACCATTCCCCACCTGTGACCAACAAACAAAAACAACAACACTTGTAATCTTTTGGAACTTCACTATCCAAAACAGTAGCTACTGGCCACCTGAGGCTATTTATGTGACTGATCCCAACTGAGTCAGGGTATTGGCTTTTGAAGATTTATTATAGAAAAAAAAGGGTCAGTCTCTTCCCCTGTCAGTCATGCTATGGGGGGGGGGGCGCGGCAGATAGTAAGAGCTCCCCCAGGGCCCAGCACCGTCAGGCTGGACTTGCCTCTGGAATTTGACTCCCCACTCCCACCCAGCCTTCCCCTCCAGCCAGGGCTTTCCCTCCCACGAGACCTCCCTCCTTCATCTTGGGCTCTCCTTGTCCAGGGCCACCGTGCTGGCTCTCACCCGCCGCAGACTGGCTTCCTGAGCTCCCAGCGGTGGTCACTGGATCCTGGCCACCCAGAGGCCTTCAGGGCTTGTGTCCACCAGCCTTGCTGCCCTCAGCCTGTCTAGTCCTAGGGAGCCTTTCCTTCTAGTCCCATGATTTTAAAAAAATATATATTTTTATTGATTTTTTACAGAGAGGAAAGGAGAGGGACAGAGAGTTAGAAACATAGATGAGAGAGAATCATCAATCAGCTGCCTCCTGCACACCCCCCACCGGGGATGTGCCCACAACCAAGGTACATGCCCTTGACCGGAATCTAACCTAGGACCTTTCAGTCCGCAGGCCGATGCTCTACCACTGAGCCAAACCGGTTTCGGCAGTCCCGTGATTCTTGATGTAAGGAGAGAGAGAATAGGTAGAATATTCAAAGACTTAGAAATAATTCCCATACAACTAGACAAGGACTGTGCTTCCATCTTTTGTGTGTTTTTTATTTTCAACTCCTGAAGAGAGATAGCAGCAAGATGACAAAGCTAGTTTAAATGAGAATACAAGAGACTGACACATATGTAGTCAAGTGCGAGGGGGTGGGGGTGGGGGGGGAGAGGAATCCTGAAATTTCCCTAAACTGGATACAAAATTGGTCAGTACCATAGAGGGTAATTTTTTTCAAAGCCCTATAAGCCTCAGGGTGACATTGCTGGGCAGAAATCCTCCGGTACGTCATGGAAAGGACCGGAACCATATTTCTGTTTTATACCCACTGCAGGGGGCACTAGCCAAGTGAGTGGCAATTCAGTTTGTGGCCCCTTCTCAGATCTGACTTAAACCAGACCTACAATACCCAGTCATCTGGGTGGCCCCGCTGAGCGGCTTCCTTCAGAAACCTTTGTCATCTCAGCCTGCGAAAGCAAGCTCACATGGCTACATTGGTAAGACTCCGCTGTAGGAAATGGAGTCTGTTACAGAGCCCCTCCCGCTTCCCCAGTGTCTCTAAACCACAGAAATTGCTGACAGAGGCCCTAAGCGCATCCTGGCTACTGCCCAGTGGCCCAGGGCCCCAGCACTGCCCTGAGCTCAGTCCCTAACACCCACTCCTGCTGACACCAGGCCCACCAGTACTGCCCCCCCCCCCCCCCGTCAGCAAGGCCCTTTCAAGGGGAGCCCCAAAGCAGCAAAGCTCCTGGGCCCTAGGGCCCTACCAGTCTTCTCTCTCTCTCTCTCTCTCTCTCTCTCTCTCTCTCTCTCTCTCTCTCTCTTCTCTCTCCCCCCCCCCAACAACCCCCCAGAAGGCTACTGTGTCAGTCACAAGCTTGGCTCAGTCTTCCAGGCCTGTTATTAAGACACTGGGGCTGCACCCAGCTGGTGTGGCTCAGCGGTTGAGCATTGACCTATGAACCAGGAGGTCAACAGTTCGATTCCCAGTCAGGACACATGTCTGGGTTACAGGCTCAATCCCCAGTGGAGACGTGCAGGAGGAAACCATTCAATGATTCTCTTATCATTGATGTTTCTCTCCTCCCTTCCTCTCTGAAATCAATAAAAATACGCTTTTTTTTTTTTTTTTTTTTTTTTTTTTTTTTTAAAGACACCGAGGCTGGGTTAGAAAACAAAGAAGAAAACAAAAGACACCAGGGCTGGGTTGGCACACCTTCCTGTGTGTCCCCGTGGTCCCATCTCTCTTGTGAGGCGTGGTGTCTGAGAGGTGGTACAGCTCCCGGCTGAGGCTGCCCGAGACCCGGCCTCTCCCCGAATCCCAGTCTCAGCCGGGCCAATTGTTAGCATCCAGTGAATGTCGGCGTTCTGAGCCGACCTCCAGTGGACCTACCCACCCGAGAGGCTCAGTGGAGGAGGTTGGGGTAGCCGTGCTCCCTGCAGGCTCCCCATTCCTGCCTGTGGATGCCCGGCCCTGCAATCTGGCAGCATCACCTCCATCTTGTGGCATCAGCCTTCAGACACATCTGCTGTGAGGTCCCACAGCCTCCTCAGGAGGACACCTGTGCGACGCAGGCCCCGGCCATGGCTGGCTGCCGGCGTGTTGGGGTCTGTGTCCAGGTGGGGTTGTATCCCTGTTGTTGCCCTGGACACGCCTTACGTCCCCGGCAGCTGGAGCACAGTTAGGAGCTGACTGCTTCAGGCGGCTTTCCTCCATTCTGCAGGGGCCTGGAGGGCGCCTCCTGAGCTCTCCTCCAAAAGACGAGGGAGCCGGGCCAGGATGAACTCAGGTTTCTTCTGAAGGCTCAGCAGGACTTACTGTAGACCCAAGGCAGAATACGAGAGAAAGCAGAGTAAAACGTAACTCCAAGATTTTTATATAAAAAATAAAGCCCTAGCCGGTTTTGCTCAGTGGGTAGAATATCTGCCTGTGAACTGAAGGGTCCCAGGTTCGATTCTGGTCAAGGGCACATGCCCAGGTTGTGGGCTCGATCCCCAGTGGGGGACTTGAGAATCAGCCAATCAATGATTCTCATCATAGATGTTTCTATCTCCCTCTTCCTTCATCTATCTGAAATCAAAAAATATTTTTAAAAAATAATAAAAGAACAGAAGTGGATTTGGCAACATGGAGCAAAGTTGACCTTTTTTTTTTTTTTTAAAGTATTTTTATTGATTTCAGAGAGGAAGGGAGAGGGGGAAAGAAATAAAAACATCAATGATGAGAATCATTGATCAGCTGCCTCCTGCACACCCTATACAGGGGATTGAGCCCAAAACTCAGGAATGTGCCCTGACCAGAATCGAACCGTGACCTCCTGGTTCACAGGTCGACTCTCAACCACTGAGCTATGCCAGCCGGGCAAACTTTATTGAAGTTGACCTTTTTAAGAGCAGTTTTAGCAGAATGGTGGGTAAAGCCCCAAGTTGAGCAGCCTCAGAGAGAACAGAGGCAGGAATTGGGGACAAACACGGATAACTCACTGAGTTTTACCATAAAAGGGAACAGGACATTGGAAGTTACTGGAGGAGCAAGTGGAACTGAGAGATTTTGAAGAGATGGTGTTCCCCACATGAATGGTGGGAGCGATCCCCTGAAGAATTTGCAGAACAGGGCGGCTTCCTGGGGCCATTGGTGAGCAGTGAGGGTGGTGGCTCTGGTGTGAGGTAGAGGTTGGTCCTGGATGGGCACAAACCATTCACCCACAGTGACAGGAGAGGGCCAGGGAGATGGTGGGCTGAGCAACTCAAGTGGTGAAGTTCCCTCTGACTTTCTCAGTGAAATAGGGAAGCGGAAGGGCGGGGGGTGGGGTGGGGGGGGAGGGAGGTAAGAATCAATCAAAGGACTTGTATGCATATAAGAATAGCCAATAGACACAGCAGGGGGTGAGGGCCTGTGCTGGGGGCCGGAGGTGGGCAGGAAGAGGTCATGGGGGGAAAAAGATGTAAGGCTTTCTATGATAAATAATTTAAATAATTTTTAAAATATATATATATTTTTTGATTTTTCACAGAGTGGAAGAGAGAGGGATAGAGAGCTAGAAACATCGATGAGAGATACATCGATCAGCTGCCTCCTGCACCCCCCCCCCACTGGGGATGTGCCCGCAACCAATGTACATGCCCTTGACCGGAATCAAACCTGGGACCCTTCAGTCTGCAGGCTGACATTCTATCCACTGAGCCAAACCGGTTTTAGCTAAATAATTTAAATAAAAAGAAGGAATCAATTCTGTGTGTAGGGGAGGAGGGAGGGGAATAGGGAAGCACAGTCAGTGACTGAGTGGGAGGAGGTGACTTTGTTAGAGGCTTGAGAACAGAGGAGAGGGTGTGGCATCACCCTCCAGGAGCCTGGAGGGAGAGTGAGTGGGCCAGGGAAGATGGCAGGACGAGGGCCTGATGAGGGGTGGGTCATACATTTAAAGCAAGATCTGCGGGGTCGTGTGGCTCTGCAGGCACATAGGGTGAGGACGCAGGTGCAGAGTAGGGGGTGGGATGGATACAACCAGGTTGGGGCTTTCCCCAGTGGCTGTGACTAAAGCAGAGAGGGTCACGAGGGGTGAGAGGCTTTGCAAGGGACTGAGACTGGGCAAGGAGGGAGGTGAGTCCCTGTGGGAGGTGAGGGAGAGGGCAAGGAGCTGGCACAGATGGATTGGCAGTCCCGGAGAGACCGGAGACCTCAGAGTCAGCCCGGTCCTGGGAGTGAGGCGAGAAGATAAAGGGAAAGAAATGCATTGGCTACCTCACGTGATTTTCATCAGCACCCACAATTCAAAAAGCTCAGGGAGGGGCCACACCACCCAACTAAGACGGGGGAAGGAAGATTGATCAAATCAACGTCAGCTGCTACAGAGTGTAGACACCAGCTGACTCCCACAGCCTGCGCCAGAGTTCTCGGGCCTCTCTCTCTCTCTTTCTCTCTCTCTCTTTCTCTCTCTCTCTCTCTCTCTCTTTCTCTCTCTCTCTCTCTCTCTCACACACACACACACACACACACACACACTACACCCAGGTGGAGTAGCCCACTCAGATGTCACATACTCTTTTTTTTTTTTTTTAAATATATTTGTAATATAACACCTAAAGTTTTTTTTTAATATATTTTATTGATTTTTCACAGAGAGGAAGAGAGAGGGATAGAGAGTTAGAAACATCGATGAGAAAGAATCATCGATCAGCTGCCTCTTGCATACCCCCTACTGGGGATGTGCCCGCAACCAAGGTACATGCCCTTGACCGGAATCGAACCCGGGACCTTTCAGTCCGCAGGCCGACGCTCTATCCACTGAGCCAAACCGGTCCCGGCTGGATGTCACATACTCTTGTCCAGATGTCGTGTTTGTAACTTCACAAGTTCAAGGGACTAAATCCTTCCAGGAGGGGGTGGGGTGGGACCATAAAGCTGTACCTTGTGGTGCTCTCAGCATGTCTTGGCTTCAATTATCAGCTGACCTTGGCGTCCCACTGCCTTCCTGGTGGTAACTGTCCTCCTGGGTCCTTTCCACTGACAGGCTTCTGATAAGATCCAAGGTTAATAACCTGGTGCTGATAACCACCTCGCCAAGAATGGTGGCTTCCTGGTGCAGGTCCCCGAAGTCACTGATCCACTCCTCCGTCTCCCCTCCCCCACCTCCAGGCCTCCTATGCTAACATGCAGCACAAGGGAGATGGCATGGCGGGGCCTGGGGCAGGCGAGCAGAAAGGGGGCTGCACCTAGAGGGGGCTGTGGATCTCACACACACACACACACACACACACACACACACACACACAGTCCACCACGGCCCAGCTCCCTCAGCTCTTCAGGCATCTGGGCCTGTCAACGGGCAGCAGCCTGGCCGGGGCCAAGGCAGGATAACATGGGAGGTGGGAGGGGGCACAGCTTGATGCACAGGGACCTTCCCTGCTCTGCTTAGCGCTCTGTGAGATGTGGAAGAGGCTCGTTATTTGTGCTGAGAGCTTAGTGTCTCCCTCTTCCTAGCTCCCAGCCTTTGCACATGCGAGGCCATCTGTACAGAGGGCCCGTCCCCCGCACTCTCTGTGTTTAAATTCCTTCTCATCCTTGGGAGATCCCCTCCAATGGTCCCTCCGAGAAACAATTCCTCGTTCTCACCGGGAGCACACTGGTCCTCCTTCTGTAGGGCACTTCCCACGTGGTGGAGTCCAAGGCCTGTCTGTCCCCACTGTGGACTTGAGTTCCTGGCCACCTTTGCTTCCTTCAGGCCTGGCATGGATCTGGCATAGAGCTGAATGAATCCATGATGCTTGCAGGTATAAGTGATGGAGAGAAAAAATGGAGGATGGATGGATGGGTTGATAGGAAAATGGGTGGGTGAATGGGTGGGTAAATGGATGGATGGGTGGATATGGGTAGGTAGTAGATAAATAGATGAATGGATGATGAACAGATGAATGAATTCTTTTTTAAAAAAACGTATGGCCGAGACCGGTTTGGCTCAATGGATAGAGCGTCGGCTTGGGGACTGCAGGGTCCCAGGTTCGATTCCGGTCAAGGGCATGTACCTTGGTTGCGGGCATATCCCCAGTAGGGGGTGTGTAAGAGGCAGCTGATAGATGACTCTCTCTCATCGATGTTTCTAACTATCTCTCTCCTTTCCTCTCTGTACAAAATCAATAAAATATATTTAAAAAAAAAAACAAAAACGTATGGTGTTTATTGATTTTGAGAGAGAGAAATAAAAACATCAATGAGAAACATCGAGTGGCTGTCTCCTGCACAGCCCCCACTGGGGATCGAGTCCACAGCGCTGACCAGGAATTGCAACTATATCTCTTGGTGAATGAGTGGATACTCAACCACTGAGCCACACCAGCTGGGCAAATGGATTCCAGATAGGGCCAGGAGATGGAGAAGGAAGTCACATTGCCAAAGAAGCGAGGGCTTCCCTTCAGCCTCCCTCTCTAAGAGTTCGCTTTCCTCCCAGAAGCTGGGGCCCCGCAGGCTAGATACAGGGGATTCTTCTGGGTCCCCCTCTCCCTGTAGGGGGTGAAGTGAGGCAGGAGCCGCTAAATGTACTGAGCTCCCATATGTGCCAGCCACTACTCGAGCTGCTTCTATACACGTGGTCTTTCATGAAAACAGAACCACAGTTTTGTGAAATAGGTTTTATTATCCCCATTTTACTGCTAAGGAAATGGGCCAGAAAGACCAAGTGAATTGCCCCAGGTCACACCGTGTATGTCTAGAAAAAATGGGATTTAACCGGGACTGGTTTGGCTCAATGGATAGAGCGTCGGCTTGGGGACTGAAGGGTCCCGGGTTCGATTCCGGTCAAGGGCGTGTACCTTGGTTGCGGGCATATACCCAGTGGGGGGTGTGCAGGAGGCAGCTGATCGATGACTCTCTCTCTCCCTTCTTCTCTGTACAAAATCAAATCAATAAAATATATTTAAAAAGAAAAAAAAAAGAAAAAATGGGATTTATTTTACTTTTTTAAAAAATATATTTTTATTGATTTCAGAGAGGAAGGGAGAGTGAAGGGAAGATAGAAACATCAATGAGAGAGAACCATGGATTCGCTGCCTCCCGCATGCCCCTTCCTGGGGATGGAATCCAAAACCCGGGCCTGTGCCCTGACCCGGGGGCCAAACCTTGACCTTCCAGTTCATAGGTCGATGCTCAACACGGGGCCACGCGCTGGGTGGGAGGATGGGATGTAAACCCAAACCTGCTCAAGCAGCCGGTACTGGCTGCGCTGGAATCAATGACCCCGAGGAGACAGGCAGGGATGACGGGCAGCGGGCATGGCCCTGTCTGGACCCAGGCTCGGGTCCCGGCCTGGCCTGTGTTACTGAGCACCGGGTCCCTCTGGGCCGTGTCCCGTGCGGAGGCCAGAGGGGGTCTTTCCCAGGAGAAGGACACAGACACGGGCTGTGAGCAGCCCCAGCCCTCCGGCATGCTCACCCTCCCTCTCCCTGATGGGGAAGCCGAAGGGCAGGGCCATTGGGGGTAATGGTTAACCAGGCTGGCACCCCGGGTATAAGAAGCCACCTCGCTGGTCAGGAGGCCACAGGATGCAGTGGGTGAAGGTGCTTGGGGGGGCCGTGGGGGCTGCTGCCCTCTTGGGGCTGGGGATCATCCTGGGCCACTTTGCCATCCCCAAGGGGGCCGACCCGCCCGCGCCCAGTGCCTCAGCCTCCCAGGACCTGGACCCGGAGATCCTTGAGGTCGTCATGGAGCTGCTGAGAGCCAGCAGGATCCAGGAGAACCTTAGGTGAGAGGCCTGTCTCCCGGCCCCCTCTGTGAGCCAGAGGCCCTCCCCGACCCCGGGCCTGCCCCTCTGTGAGCCAGAGACCCTCCCTGACCCGGGGCCTGCCCCTCTGTGAGCCAGAGGTCCTCCCTGACCCCGGGCCTGCCCCTCTGCCCGCCCGCAGAGAGCTCTCCAGAGAGCCGCACCCGGCCTCCAGCCGCCAGGACGAGGCGCTGGTGCAGCTGCTGCTGCAGCGCTGGCAGGACCCAGAGTCCGGCCTGGACTTGGCGGAGGCGTCCAGCTATGAGGTGCTGCTGTCCTTCCCCAGCCCGGAGCAGCCAAATCAGGTGGCCATTGGTGAGGTTTTGCCCTCTCCATCCCCCCCCCCCCACTGCCTCGGCTCAGGGGCAGGGAGCTGTGGGGCCCAAGGGACACCTCAGGCACAGCCTCGGGCATGCACCGCATCCCTTGGCTCCTAACACTGCCCTCTCCGCAGTGGGGCCCGCTGGGGACATCCGCTTCTCCTGTCGCCAGAGCGAAGAGAACCTGACTGGGGAGCAGGGGGGACCTGATGTGCTGCCACCCTATGCTGCCTACGCGCCCCCTGGGACCCCCCAGGTGGGCCTACAATACCCCCTCCCTCTGCCTGGCCCAGCTGCCCCACTCCCACCCCAGCTTCTCCCGTCCTGACTCGGGGGCTGTTGAGAAAATGGGGCTCAGCTCCCCAACCCCAGAGTTTACTCGGCTTCACGCTCCGCTGCTGCCTGCATCGCCATCGCTCAGTCACCCAGCCAATGCTAACGGCTCCCGCTCAAGGCCAGGCCAGGTGCATGGTCCTGGACACCAGGAAACCAGATGTGACCGGCCTCGGGGAGCTTACAGTGGAAAGCCTTTATCTGCCACCCGGCTGTCCCCTTCCTCCCCCACTCCATCTTCCCCGCCCGGCTCTGAGGGTCACCTCCTCTTGGGACCAGGGCCTCCTCGTCTATGCCAACCGGGGCTCGGAAGAAGACTTCAAGGAGCTACAGGCTCAGGGCATCCGACTCAACGGCACCATCGCCCTGACCCGCTACGGGGGCGTGGGACGCGGGGCCAAGGTGAGCAGCGGCCCCCGGGGCAGGGTGCTGGGTGGGGAGAGGGGCCCAGCAGAGGGCAGGAGGAAGCGTGGGGAAGGGGAAGAAGCAATACTGAGCGGTGGGCTGAGCTGTACTTGTGGTATACCACGGATGTGCTGTGTGACCTTGGATGCCGCCCCTAACCTCTCTGAGCCTCATTAGGCAAAGTTTGCAGCTTTGATATTTTAGGAGTCTAAGACCGCCTGTGAAGTAATTCTTCCCGATATTCAACTTAAATACCTCCAGCTGCCCTCCCCACCACCTGCTTCTTTTCACTTAAAAATTTTGACTAAATATTACATGTCTATAGTTTTAAAAAAAATTAAAAATATATACAGGTATAGTGAGTGAGGGAGTGTTTAATGGATATGGAATTGCACATTTGCAAGACGAAAAGAGTGCCAGAGATGGATGGTGGTACTAATTGCACAATAATATGAATGTATTTAATACTACCTAGCAGTACACTTTATTATTTTTTTATTTTTTAAATATATTTTATTGATTTTTACAGAGAGGAAGGGAGAGAGATAGAGAGCTAGAAACGTCGATGAGAGAGAAACATCAATCAGCTGCCTCTTGCACACCCCCTACCGCGGATGTGCCCGCAACCAATGTACATGCCCCTGACTGGAATCGAACCTGGGACCTTTCAGTCCGCAGACCAATGCTCTACCACTGAGCCAAACCGGTTTCGGCTAGCAGTACACTTTAAATGGTTAAGGCAGCCTAGCCACTTTGGCTTAGTGGATAGAGCATCAGCCCCTGAACTGAAGGGTCCCAGGTTTGCTTCTGGTCGAGGGCACATACCTCCACTGCAGGCTCAATCCCCAGCCCTGGTCAGGGTGCCTGCGGGAGGTAACCCAGGTGACGTGTGCCTCTCACATCGATGTTTCTCTCTATCTCTCCCCCTCCCTTCCACTCTCTCTAAAAACCAATTTAAGCTGAGACCGGTTTGGCTCAATGGATAGAGCGTCGGCTTGGGGACTGAAGGACCCGGGTTCGATTCCGGTCAAGGGCATGTACCTTGGTTGCGGGCATATCCCCAGTAGGGGGTGTGCAAGAGGCAGCTAATCGATGACTCTCTCTCATCGATGTTTCTAACTATCTCTCTCCCTTCCTCTCTGTACAAAATCAATAAAATATATATATTATAAAAAAATAAATAAATAAAAAAATAAATAAAAACCAATTTAAAAAATCCATGGGTGAGGGCTAACAGTAAAATGGCTTAGATAATAAGTTTTATGTTATGTGTACTTGATCGTAGTTTTAAAAGAATTGCCCATAATAAGAGCTGAAAAGAAAAAGGGAAGAAAAGAACAGAACAGAATAAAGGGGGGCGGGGACAGGCACGATGGAATTTCCAGTTTAAAAAACACCGTGTGAAATGAAAAGTTCTCCTGGGAGGCCGCCCTCCGAAGAGGCCGCCCCTCCTCCGGCTCCTGGGGTGCCCGCCGCGATTCTTTCGGAGGAAACACAGACGCGGCTGCACAAACTGTCCTTGTGCTGCCCTTGGAAAAGGCACTGCTTTGCTTTTATTGTGGCCAAATGTACTATTTACCCACCTTCCAGCGTTCAAGGCAGTGAGTGACATTAAGAACATTCACAGAATGGGGCGGTCACCACCCCAGCCACACCCGGGACTCTGGCTCCATTCCAGATGAAACTGCCCTCATAAACTAACTCCTCTCTCCCTCAGCCCTGCAGCCTCTAGCCACCTTTCTGTCTCTGAATTTGCCTATTCTCGGTATCTCGTATAAGAGAAATCATACGGTATCTGTTCTTTTATGTCTGCCTTATTTCCCTTGGCATAATGTTTTCAAGGCTCATCAATGTTGTATCAGAAGCTCCTTCCTTTTGAGGCTGAATGACACGTTTAATACCACATTTTGCTTATTCATCCATCCGCCGATGGCCACTTGGGTTGTTTCTCCCTTTTGGTGACTGTGAACAGTGCTACCATGAACACGGGTGTGCAGAACATCCTGGCTCTTTCATACAGCCGCACAGGATTTGTGGGGCGCGGCTACAGTGTTTGGACAGGTTCAAGCCTTGGACTAATGAGCAGTCACAGTCCTCATTGCCACGTGCAAGTGCCAGCCTGGAGGGCAGGGCCCCACGTGCCTAAGTGATAGAGGCTGCAAGTAAACAAAGCTTGCTCAGGTGCCAGGAATTGAGTGGGATCAAACCCACAAGAATGTTGTAAACATCTTGATACTCCCTTACTTTGCCTCGAGGCATCTCCTATAAAATAAAGACATGATTTATAATCCGTGGCTCTCTCAGGAAGCAGCGTCACACCCAGGCCCAGCTCTCATTCTCTTATTGTTTTTTAAAATATATTTTTATTATTTACTTATGTATTTACAGAGAGGAAGGGAGAGGGAGTTAGAAGCATCAATGAGAGAGAAACACCCGTCAGCTGCCTCCTGCACAGCCCCTACTGGGAATGTGCCTGCAATCAAGGAATGTGCCCTTGACTGGAATCAAACCCGAGACCCTTTAGTCCCCAGGTGGAGGCTCTATCCACTGAGCCAAACTGGCCAGGGCTCTCTTGTTTGTCTTTTCTGAGCCTTTCAGCTGCCCCCACTCAGGGTCACTGAACCTGGCGGAGCTGGCGCGGCACATACGGTGTCCAGGGGCTGAGTGTGCCATGGCCGTGCCCGCCGCCACAAGTATTCCCTTGTGAGATGCCTCCGCTTATTCAACCAGCCCCCACCCCACCCCACCCCATGAGCACTGGCTTGCCTATGTCCAAGCAGAACTGCACTAAATGACTTGGGTTAGCATCATCCTGCCGGTGGGAAGATAGATCTGTCCTGGCTTCCACAGCCAGGACAATAGGTGTGCCTCCTCCTCTTCCTCCTCCTCCTTCTCCTCCTCCTCCTTCACCTCCTCCTCCTCCTCTTGCAGGCTGTGAACGCTGCAAAACACCAGGTGGCTGGGGTGCTGGTGTATACGGACCCTGCAGACATCAATGATGGGCACAGCTTGCCCAACGAGACCTTTCCGCACTCCTGGCACCTGCCTCCCTCTGGAGTGGAACGAGGCTCCTACTATGAGTATTTTGGGGACCCCCTGACTCCCTACCTTCCAGCCAAGCCCTCTTCCTTTCGCCTGGACCCAGCCACTGCCTCCGGATTTCCCCCAATTCCCATCCAGCCCATTGGCTTTGAGGATGCCAAAGTCCTTCTCTGGTGAGCTTGTGCCCGGGGCCTCCTGCCTATCCTCCAATGGCCTCCCAATATCTGCCCACATCCGCTCTGAAGGCTCTCCCTCTCTCCCCAGTAACCTCCAGGGACCCCCAGCCCCGGCCGCCTGGCAGGGAGCTCTGGGCTGTGACTACAGGTTGGGCCCGGGCTTCCAGCCTGGCGGGATGTTCGCAGACAGGTGAGCTGGGCCCTCCCTCAATCCTCTCCCCGCCCTGGGTGTGCTTCCCGGACCCTGCGTGTCCCCTCCGCCCCCTCCCAGGCCTGGCCTTTCCCTCACTCTCTCCCAAGCCCTCCCTCCACTCCAAGATGCCTGTTGTCTTTGGGGAACCAGTGAGGCAGCTGTGTAGCCCCCAAGTCCACCATCCCTCTCACACGCCCACTGCAGGCATTTGCTTCCTGGTGGTCTGGCTTGGGAGAGGGAGGCCCCTGGTTCGGTGCTGGGTGCTGGCTACACCAAGAACCTACACCAAGAAACTGAGGGAGGGAGGAAGGGAGGGCACCGATGAAAAGAACAGGAACCGGAAGAGTGGCTCTCGCCTTACTGTCCCTCCTGGTGCTTCAGGGCACGTGACCGGGCCCTGTCCTGTTCCCCCTGGCCTCCGTTTCCCTTGCGCCAGGGCAGAGAGCGGGCGGTGGGCGCGGGGTGGGGAGCGGGGGCCCGCACTGCCGTCCCCTCCCCCCCTCAGCCAGGTGAACGTGAGTGTGCACAACCGCCTGGAGCTGCGGAACTCCTCCAACGTCCTGGGGCTCATCCGCGGGGCCGTGGAGCCGGGTGAGCCCCCCGGAGCAGCCCTGCTCCGACCCCCCACTGTGCCCCCCCCTGCCCGGCTGGCCCGCCCTCCCCTCTGGTCCTGATTCTACTCCTCCGGCCAGACCGCTACGTGCTCTACGGGAACCACCGGGACAGCTGGGTGCACGGCGCCGTGGACCCCAGCAGCGGCACCGCCGTCCTCCTGGAGCTCTCCCGCGTCCTGGGCACCCTGCTGAAGAAGGGTGAGCCTCCCCTGACCCAGGGCTCGCCCCCGGGGTCACCTCCAAACCCGTCCTCCTCGCCCTGGACACCCTGCCCACCTCCCGCCTCATTCTCCCGTGCCAGCTGTGCCCGAGCGCCCTGGAGGCAGACACCAGCCCGGCCTCGGGTAGCCCGTGGGCACAGGGCACTGAATGGACCATTGATGAGTTTGTCCAGGAGCTTCTGGCGCCTGTGGTGCCCTGGATGGAGGGAGGCCTGGATGCCTCCGAGCTTCAGCCCAGCTGGGGCAGGAATGCCAGTCCTTACCTCAGCTGACACAGTCAGGCCGGGTCTAAGCACAGGGTCCCTCAGTGGCCCCCAGAGCGCCTGCTGTGAGGACCATGGGGATGGGCTGTAAAGACGTGTCTGAGGGGCACCAGGTGCAGGCCGGGGCAGTTCCGGGAAAGGAGAAGTTACTGTCTGTCGCAGGTGAAGATGGGGGAGAGGGGGGCAGTGGTTCCTAGGATGACGGGTTGGGAGGGAGCTGGAACGGAAAAGGGAGGTGGAGGTGGAGGGTCGGAGGCCTTCTCACCTGCCTCTAGGGAAGAGGGAGGCAGGGCGTCCGGGTGGGGAACCACCTGCTTGAGGGATGCTGGTGCTGGGGCAAGGCTGGGGTGGTGGGGGTGCACAGCAGAGGAGGGAGCCTCTGGGAAGAGTTGGCTGGAGAGGTGCCAGGACCTACCTCCAGCCCTCCGGCCTCTCCGTTCCCCAGCCTTTCTGGGAGTCACCCCAGGCTGTGGGGGCCCCTGCCCGCTAACCCCTCCCCCTCCCCCAGGCATCTGGCGTCCCCGCAGATCCATCGTGTTTGCGAGCTGGGGGGCGGAGGAGTTTGGTCTCATCGGCTCCACCGAGTTCACGGAGGTGAGTGGGCCCCGGGGTGGCGGTCGGCCCGGGGGCAGCAGTTCACGGAGGTGAGGGCCCGGGGTGGCGGTCGGGCCCGGGGGCAGCAGTTGGCGGTCGGGCCCGGGGGCAGCAGTTCACGGAGGTGAGGCCCGGGGTGGCGGTCGGCCCGGGGCAGCAGTTCACGGAGGTGAGGCCCGGGGTGGCGGTCGGCCCGGGGCAGCAGTTCACGGAGGTGAGGCCCGGGGTGGCGGTCGGCCCGGGGGCAGCAGTTCACGGAGGTGAGGCCCGGGTGGCGGTCGGGCCCGGGGTGGCGGTCGGCCCGGGGGCAGCAGTTCACGGAGGTGAGGCCCGGGTGGCGGTCGGCCCGGGGCAGCGCGGCTGACTCCCCCTCCCGCAGGAGTTCTCCAGCAAGCTGCGCGAGCGCGCCGTGGCCTACGTCAACGTGGACATCTCCGTGTTCGGTGCGGGGGCTGGGCTGCCGGGGGGCGGGGAGCAGGAAGGGGCTGGGGCCAGGGTAGAGCCTTCTCTGGTCCTCCGCAGCCAACGCCACCCTGAGGGCGCAGGGGACGCCCCCGGTCCAAAGCGTCCTCTTCTCCGCGGCCAAACAGGTGCGGGGCGGGGCGGGGCGGGGCGACCGGAGGGCGGGGCCGGGACAGCCTGGGGGCGGGGCTACGAGGTGGGCGGGGCCGGGACTGGCACTCACTGTAGGGGCTGCGGGCGGGACTGAGCCTGGAGGCGGGGCTTGTGGGACCCGTTAGTGGTTGGGGCGGGGCGGGGCGGGCCGACCCCGAGACCAGGTTCCCCTCCGGTCAGATCCCCGCACCAGGCCCCGGCGGCCTCAGCATCTACGACAACTGGCTCCGGTATTTCAACCGCAGCAGCCCGGCGTACGGCCTGGTGCCCAGGTGAGCCCGGGGCCGGGGCGGGGCCGGGGCCCCGGGGGGTGGGGGGGCCGGCCCAGCAGCCTCTGCCCATGCACCTTCCTTCCCGCAGCCTGGGCTCCCTGGGTGCCGGCAGCGACTACGCGCCCTTCATCCACTTCCTGGGCATCTCCTCCATGGACATCGCCTACACCTACGACCGGGTGAGCGGCACCTCCTCTCCCGCTTCCCTAGCGCCGTCTGAACCGGCTCCATCGCTCAGCAGCTGTGCTCCCTCCGCCAGCTTTCCTCTGAGAACCGCTCATGCTCCTCTCACTTACCAAACCTGAGACACTATGACTGTGAGATGCACTGCCAGGACGTGCACTGTTCAGGAGCGGGGAACTGCACTGCCAATGAGGTGTAGACTGGCGCTGACTGTAAGCATCTTGATTCCAGAATCCTTAAAATATGAAGGGAAATTCATCTCAGAATAGATGAAGTGACAGTGTAAACGAGGGACAGCTCAGCCCTGGTGAGAGAGCAATGAGATGGGGGCGTATAGAATACCCAGCCCGTGTCTCCACTAGCATTCTCTCCCCTTCCCGTGCCTGGGAAGTGAGGCGAGATTAAACCCTGACTCCAAAGCTCCAGCTCTTCTTCATGCGAAACAGGAACGGGGCACCGGACCCAGCTCTGCCCCTGGTTAGCTGTGTGGCAGCAGGCAGGTCACTTACCCTCCCTGAGCGTCAGTCTCTTCTTCTATGAAGAGGGAATTCTGAAACGGCCTCCTGGCTGGCGCAGTGATTGGAGGGACACCTCCCCCCACTCCCCATCTCACGCCTGTCACCTCTGGGCTTTGTTTCTCCAGAGCAAGACCTCTGCCCGGATCTACCCCACCTACCACACCGCTTTCGACACCTTTGATTACGTGGACAAGTTTGTGGACCCCGGTGAGGACGGGGTCAGGAGCGCCCCGAGGCCGGAGGAGGACGGCGGGGGACTGAGCCCGGGCCTGCCGCCCTCTCCGCAGGCTTCGGCAGCCACCAGGCCGTGGCCAGGACGGCGGGGAGCGTGCTCCTCCGGCTCAGTGACAGCCTCTTCCTGCCCCTCAACGTCAGCGACTACAGCGAGACGCTCCGGAGCTTCCTGCAGGCCGCCCAGCAGCGCCTCGGGGCCCAGCTGGAGGGCGAGGGCATCAGCCTGGGTATGAAGGCCCCTGGCGGGAGGCACGGGGAGGCCTGCACTGCCGGGCTGACGCTGGCTGTCCCCACAGGGCCTCTGGTGACCGCCGTGGAGAAGTTCGAGGGGGCAGCCATGGCCCTGAACCGAGACATATCCGAGCTGCAGAAGGGCACCCGCGAGTGAGCAAGGGCAGCAAGCCGGGGAGCGGGAGGGTGGTGTCCAGGGCAAGATGCAGGCTGGCGGCTGGGCTGCCGGCTCCGGGGTGACGGGCGAGTCCTGCGCCTCCAGCCCGCTGCAGGTGCGGATGCTCAACGACCAGCTGATGCTCCTGGAAAGGGCCTTCCTGGACCCCCGGGCCTTCCCGGAGGAACGCTACTACAGGTGAGCCGGCCCCAGCTCGGCGCAGCGGGGGAGGCTGGGCGCTGGGCCCCGAGGGCGGGGACTGGCAGCATTTCCCTGGCCTTTAGGGAAGGGGGAGGCGCTCTGTGCCAGCTCTGTGAGGAGCTGAGCCCATTCCAGGCTGAAGCAAATGACCCCGATGCTCCGTTTCTCCCGCCAGCCACGTGCTCTGGGCGCCCCGGCACAGCTCCGTAGCCACGTTCCCAGGCCTGGCCAATGCCTGTGCCAAGGCCTTGAATACCGACCCAGGGTCTGCGGCCTGGGCCGAGGTGCGGAGGCAGCTCAGCATCGTGGTGGCGGCCCTGGAGGGTGCAGCAGCCACCCTGAGGCCCGTGGCTGACCTCTGACCCCAGCCCTCCTTCCTCCGCTCACCACTACCCCTCTTTATCCGAACCCTCTCCCACTCGTTTTCTTTGGGTGTCCCGGTCTTCCCTGAGGCCAAGAGAGGTCATGGCTATGGGATCCTTTCAAGCTGCTGGGGTCACCGGAGGGGGTGACAAGCCCTGAATGAACCTCCTCGTCTGGCTCTTGGTGGACGGAGGGCAGAGAAAAGGAGGCAGGGATGGTGGGAATGGCAGAGCCCGCAATTGCTCTTGGTGGTGGGTGGGTGCGGAGAGTATGTATACATGCCAACCTTAGCTGCCAGCTCAAGAGTCCACAGGGCTACTCCTCAGGGACCAGCAAGGAAACTGAGGCCCAGGGTAAATAGGGCCTTGTCCACTCTGGGTTCCTCCACCTTCAGACCTCACATTTCTCAACTCCTTCCTGCCCTTCCCCAAATAAATCCAGCCTGGCTACTGTCTTACAAAACAAGTTCCGTTTATTGTGTGGGAATCTGAGAAAAGGATCCTGAGTGTCAGACCCATCCTGTCACTCTCAGTCCCTCCTTACTCAAGGGGCTTGGCGCTGTCCCCGCCCACCTCTTCCTCCTCCTCCGCCATGACCACTTCCTCCAGGGAGCGCCCTCCCAGCTTGCTTCCCACCAGCACTCTGCAGGTGCCCGCTGGCGGCAGCCCTTCCTCAGTGTAGGAGCCCCTCTGGAACACCACTCTGTCCTGTCCCAGCAAGGGCAGTCCGTGGGCCTGGCACAGGTCCCGCGCCTCCTCGGGCCCATCCAGGGCCAGCAGATGGACCACGTACCCCAGGGGCAAGGTCTGGCCCTTGGGGGTGCTCAGGGCACGCGCGAGGCAGGCCAGGGCTCTGCGGCGGGCATGGCCCACGTGGCACTGCACGGCGCAGCTCTGCAGGTACGGCAGGGCCCGGAGCAGGCGGAACAGGCGGGCAGCATTGCCCTCCCGGAAGGCCGCGTCCACGGCCAGGGCTGTGCGGAGGGCTGGGCAGGAGCGCAGGGCGGCTGGCAGCTGCAGAACGCTGTGCAGGGCCTCCACGGAGCCTGTGAGGGCAGAGAGCTGGGGTGAGGACCAGACCCAGCTTCCGTCCCATCCGCTTCTGCCTCCCTCCCCCACCTGAGCACCCAGGGGCTCCAGCCCTCCCCCAGACCCACCCCCCCCCCCAGTCCTACAGCCCACCTGGCCACGCCCCTCCCCCAGGCCAAGTGCACCTTCACCTTTCCCTCAGTCCTTCCTGAGACATATCTACTGAGGTTGCCCCTTCACACCGTTTGGATCCTTCTAATAAAGTGAAGCCGTGTTCATGGATGAGGGGAAAAGGCCCAGATCATTTAACAACTTGCCTGAGACCTGGACTGTTCTACAGTTCATACGTAGTAGAACCAGAGCAATCAAGTCCAAGGTTTCCGACTTGAAACCCAGTTCTTTCCCCACTGCCCTACCTGCCCCACAGCCCAGGGCACGGGCTCGGCCACTGCTTCCAGGAGACCCTGCCCCTGCCTCTCTTCTGGAACCTGTGGCCACTTCTGTAAGCCGAGGCTTCTGACCCATGAGTGGGCTGTGAAGTCAACAGCATTTTATTACATTTAAATAGACTACTACTTATTAGAACGCGCCATCCATCCACAGAAAGGATCTAAAAGTCCTGGCTGGTGGATCTTGTGCTTTTTGACGCGACACACATTTCAGAGGCAGGGAGGGGGCGAGGGCTAAGGGCGAGATCTAAAAGCTGCTCTTTCCTCCCCACATCCACTGTCCACACCCAGGGAGCCCCCGTCCCCGTCCTGTGCCGCCGCCGGGGCCCCACTCACCCAGGTTAAAGAGCAGAAAGAGGCCCTGGAAGGCGGCCTGGCGGGGGTGCGGCCCCGCGCCCCGCGCGTAGCAGCGCCGCAGCGAGCCGAAGCCCTCCTGCACCTGGGCCTGCAGCAGCGCCGGGGCCACCGGCCCGCACGCGGCGCCGGGCCGGAGCTGCGCCGCCACGGCCAGCAGCACGGCCAGCGCCGCCTCCAGCACCGCCGCCGCCTCGGCGGCGCCCGCGCTCTGCAGCGCCAGGTCCAGGCGCACGGCGCGCAGCCGGTCCGCCACGAAGCCCGCCACCTCGGCGCGGGAGGCGTCGGCGCGGCCGGCCACCTCAGCGGCCAGGTGGCGCACGGTGGCCAGCAGCACGGCGGGCGGCCGGAGCTGGCTGGGCTGCGGCCGGGCCTTGCCGGCGGCCGGCCGGCTGTACTCCTTCACGGCGCGCTGCGGGTCGGCGCGGGGCCGGGGCCCGCCGCCGCCCGGCGCCACCTCGAAGCGGTGCAGGCGGCCCTCCTTTTCGCGGCGGGCGCGCTCGGAGGCGGGGCACATGTCCGGGCAGGTGCCCACGGGCAGCTCGCAGCCGGACATGGCGGGCTGGGGAGAGAGGACGGGCGCTCAGCATCCCGGGCCCAGCGGCGGCCCCTCGCCCCATCCTGCAGGAAGTGGGGGGCGCGCCGGGCCCGCCCGAGGCTCGGAGCAGCTGGGCGGGCGTGAACGTCCCGCCGGCGCCGGTAACCGCCCTCCTCTCCTCTCACCGAGTCGGTTGCTTCCCACAAAGCTCGGAGCAGGCTTCCCGAGATGCACTGCGTTGTAGTCCAACGCCGCCCGCTCAGGACCGCAAACGCCCCCATAATGCACCGCGCACAGCCCGTGCCACTCCCATGATGCACCGGTTTGTAGTCCCTCCCACAACCAACCGCTTTGCGGCGGGGCGGGCCGGAGCAGAGCCACGCCTTCCCGGGACCCTGCGCACTGAAGGGTCCTTGTTTGGCTTTGGAGACCCACCTCTGCAAAAAGGATAACTCCCCATTTTCTAGATCCAGGGCCAGCGAATAAATGGGACTGTCGGTGGCAACTACATACCTCTGCTACTAGCCAACCCTTCCGGTGGAGTGAGAAAGCAAATCAATGAGCCTGGTTGTAGTCCAATAAAATTGTATTTTTAGATACTTAAACTTCATTTTCACCTGTCACAGAACATTATTCTTTTTATTTTTTTTCAACTATTAAAAAAATGTAAAAACCATCCTAGCTCACAAGCTTGACAAATAAAAAGGAGGCGGGCCAGATTTGGCTGCAGGCCGCAGTTCGCAGACCCCAGTTCCAGAAGGATGAACAGAAAGTTCAGAGCGACTGCCCACACATCAAGATAGGCAGGCAGGATCAAAAGGGCGAGGCCTTGCTTCCATGCTGGCGGGTGTGGCCAGGGAACTGAGTCATTCTTTTTCTCATTCTTGGTCCAGTTACATACAGAAATGGCCTCCTGAGTTACAAGACCAGGAGACAGGGCAGGCTCGAGGGCGAGGAGAAGGGGTGGCTGGCAGTGCTGGAGTCCGGGGAAAGGTGGCTCCCTCTCAGGGTGGGACTTTGGACAGGATTTCCTCTGCCCGCTTCAGGTACTCTGCCGCCTTCTTCTTCACACCTTCCCGCCGGGCGGGCGATGGGTCACCTGTGGAGAGAGAATGGCTCAGCTGAGGTACTGGGCTCAGAACCCTGTCTAGCCTCCTGCAGTTCACAAAGCATGTGTCTTTCCCCTTCCCTGGGGATCAGATCTAGCTTCCCATTTTATAAACAAGAAAACTGAGGCCACAAGAGACAGGCTTTGCAGCTGGCCAGTAAAGAGCAAGTCTCATCCTTGACTCGCTTGTTCTTCACGTTCCCTTCCCTTCACTGCACCATCCGGGCCCCCGGGCCTGACCCCCTGCTCTCCGGTCCTACGCACCAGGAACTCCCTGAAGCAGGATGTGCACGCCGTCCCGATAGCCCTGCAGAGCCGCAGGGTAGGCGCCGGCCTTCTCATCCCGAAGGGCCTGGGTGATGAGCTCGGTGGCTTGGCTCAGATAGGCAGGGGTGGGCCCGCCGTCCTTGTCCTCCTCCTCCTCCTCCTCCTGACCTCCAGGCTCCCAGGCTTCCTGGCCCGGCCTCTCGGGCTCCGCCTCCAGTGCTGTCAGCTCCCCTGTGTGGGTAGGGCTGGGGCCTGCACCCTCTGTAATCAGATATGGAGGACGCAGGCTGTACCGGCGGCCCCTCTCCCAGGGCCTGCCCAGCCCAGACCGCTCTTCCCTTTAAGGGACCAACCTGTCCCAGGTGGGGAGAAGCAGCGCCTGAGCAATTCAGTAGCCTCTGTGTACAGAAAGCTGGCCACGATCTGTGTGACCGATGGGGCACGTATGCTTTTGTGAAAACAGCCGGCCTTCCTAACTCTTCCTTTAAGTACACATTAACGTTCGTTTGCAAGCTCCGGGCCACTAGTCTTACTTTCTTCCTGACTACAGTTGATCTATCAATCCATCAAGTCCCTCAATAAAGTTTAATTGAAGGATGCTAGGCCAACTTCGCCAGGCTCAGGGTAGAAATACTCCAAGCCTTAGAATCTTGGGAGAGGGACAGAGAGAAACATCAATGAGGGAGAAACATCGATCAGCTGCCTCCTGCAGACCTCCCACTGGGGATGTGCCTGCAACCAAGGTACATGCCTTGACTGGAATCGAACCTGGGACCTTTCAGTTCACAGGCCGACGCTCTATCCACTGAGCCACACCTGTTAGGGCGCCTTAGAGGAATCTTAATAGGCTCCTGTCTAAGCGTCTGGCCACCGGGCAGCCCAGGATGGGGCAAGGCAAAGTATGTGGACATCTGCCTCTCAGAGCCGGCACATCAATCCCAGTGACACCACTCCTTGCCCCTCCAATTCCTTCCTCCTCCCCAACCCTGGAGGGGCCGGAGCAGGAAGGGGAGGGGGCAAATAAGAAGAGCAAAAGAACCCTCATGCCCTTGGTCACCATGGGCCTGGACACCAGGACCAGGGGCCAGGCCACCAGTCAGGACTGAGCAGGACTGAGGGTGAAAGCCGGATGGGAGGGTGAAAGCCGGATGGGAGGCCAAGGCCCTGGTTTGGACCAGACCTGAGGGCGAGGAAGCTCAAATGTCTGAAACTGATGGGAAAACTCAGGATCTGCCAGGAGGTCACTGAAGGAGGAATAAGAGAAGCCAATAAGATGGGCCTAAAGGCTGTTGAGGAATCCAAAAAGGCTGATTCTGCCGAAGCTGGTTTGGCTCAGTGGTAGAGCGTCGGTCTGCGGACTGAAAGGTCCCAGGTTTGATTCCTGTCAAGGGCATGTACCTTGGTTGCGGGCACACCTCCGGTAGGGGGTGTGCAAGAGGCAGCTGGTTGATGTTTCTCTCTCATCGACGTTTCTAGTTCTCTACCTCTTTCCCTTTCTCTCTGTTGAAAATCAATTTTAAAAAAAAAAAAAAAAAAAAAAAAGGCTGATTCGTGACGATCCCGCAGTGAGATCAGCCACTTCAACGCAGCAGCTGCAGGAGCAGCAGAAACCGAGGGAACTCACCATGAAGATCCAGGGTCTGAGTCCAGGACGGTTAGGTCCCCCGATCTCAGTGCCAGGGGCTCAGGGCCTGGACCGCTATGGGGGCCCCTTCCATCTTGGTGCCCCCACAAGCCAACAGCTCCTCCCCTGCTGCTCGCTGAGCCCAGGCCTCACCCGCCTTGACCAACAGGCCTCTCCTGACTTCCGGGTCCATGCCAGACCCCGAGGCAGCCAGAGCTGCTGCAGGGAGAAGATCCACCTGGGCAGTGGCTCATCTCATTCCTCCGTCGTTGCTCACTGAAACAGGGCATCCAGCTCGCCACGCCCTGGCACGGGGCTGTGGCACCTGCTCCTATCCTCACGGAGGCTGCATCTGCCACAGGGGGCTCCGCCTCAGGCTCACAGGCACCGGAGCCCACCGGGGGCACCTCTGCCCAGCCCTCCCTCACTGCCCGCTCTTACCTTCCCTGGAGAAGGGGTCGAAGAGGGCCAGCTCGGCCTCGGTGAGGGGGCCTCGGGCTGGGGAACTGGACGCCTCCTCGGTGCTCCCGCAGTTAAAGAGGAGACCCAGGGCCTCCTGGGCAGGGCTGGACGGCAGGGGCTCCGCTGAGGAACAGGTCAGGGGGACGTTTACGTCTGCTCTTACTGCTTATCTCACTGAATCCCCGCAGCCACCCTGAGTGGAGACAAGCCCGTTCTTCGGGCTTGTGCCCATTTTACAGATGAAGAAACTGCAGCCTCGGTGCCTGTGCAGGGCTCCCGGCAGGCTAGTGGTGGAAGAGCTGGGACACGCCACGGGCTCTTCGCTAAGATCACTGAGGAGGGAGCGGGCCTCACCCCACTCCGGGCCCTCCAGCGGGGCTCCCTCCCTCACCCCTAAGTACCTGGCGCCTCCAACTCCTCCAGGCCCCTCTTCTCTGCGGGGAGAGGCTGGGGGAGCCAGGACTCCTCCGGAGGCCGCTGGAGCTCCTCGGGGGGCGGGGTGGGGGTCAGAGGGGGCGGCAGGATGTGCAGGTCCCTGGACACCTGGGCAGGCCGTGTCACCTCCCCCCCCTGCAGGAGAGACCAGCCAGGAGGAGTCTCAGGGTGCAGCCGGGGAGCAGGGAGGTCCCCGGCGCTGGGCGGGGGGCGAGCAGGCGCACATACCCGGAAGAACTCCTTGAGCTGAGGGCTGTTGTTGAGCGCGGGGATGTGCACAGTGAAGCGGAGCAAGTCCTCGGCCCCTTTGCGCCGCTCCTCGATCACAGAGGCCTCGAACCTGCCTGCAGCCCCGGGAGAAGGGGCAGCAAGAGAAGCATGACTCTCAGGCCTGGGCCCCCAGCCACTCTGGTTCTGCCTGACAGGGCCTGACAGCCCGTCCGAGCTCCCGTTCTCCCAGCAGCCTTCCCGGCTCCTCCAGGGTGGGGGGGCGCTTGAACGAAGGGACCCATCTCCCTGTTCACCCATTTACCAGGTGCTTACTGAACACCTACTAGGTGCGAGGCTCACAAGGTGAATGAGAGGAGCAAGCTCTCATAGACGTCACATCCCAGACAGGGGGAGGCAAGCAACCAACAAGAAACAAAATGACTTCCCGTGGCTTTGATGGAATGAGGAGCAAAGTAAGGCTCAGAGAGGGGAAGAGACTTGCCCAAGGTCACACAGCAAGTAGCCCCCTCTTATGACAGTCTCACCGCTCTGTTCTAGGCAGCTGTCTGACTCTACCTGGATACCAGGCCGCCCTGCCGCACTCCCCCTGGCCTGGCACAGCCGCCAGCAGAACGCTACTGCACAAAACAGCTCATGTGATTCTAGAGAATCAGCCCCGTCCAACAAAACATAACATGCGACTTACAATTTCCTAGTAGCCACATTAAACAAACAAACAAAAAAAGTAAAAAGAGCCCTAGCCAGTTTGGTTCAGTGGATAGAGCGTTCGCCTGTGGACTGAGGAGTCCCAGGTTCTATGCCAGGCGGGGGCACATGCCCGGGTTGTGGGCTCAATCCCCAGTACGGGCTGTGCAGAAGGCAGCCGATTAATGATTCTCTCTGATGCTTCTATCTCTCTCTCCCTCTCCCTTCCTCTCTGAAATCAATAAAAATGTATATATATATATATATATATTTTTTTTTAAAGTAAAAACAGATTCATTGTAATATTTTCTATTTCACTCAATATATTCAAATTACCCTCATTTCAATATATACCCAATACATACATTGCTGTGATAGTTTACATTCCCCCCCCCCCCCCCCCCCGTGTATGTGACCCAAAAGCCCATCATATCGCCAGCGCTGCCCGGCCCCGGCCATGCGTGGCCGTGGCTGCTGTTTGGGGACCGGGCAGGTCTATGGGAACGGGGATGTGGGCAGGAATTCTGGTTCTGTCATTACAGGCCCGGCCCCTTCATCTCCCGGCGCCTCAGTGGCCGCTCCTAGAAAAGGGTGCTGATGAGGCAGGAACGTAAAGGGGCTGACACACCAGGGCGGGGCTCCTCTGGGCCTCCAAGCCTCCCCAGGGCCCTCCCAGCCTCTGGAATGTCCCGCAGGGAGTGTCCGGCCCTGTCGCTCCGGCCCCCACCAGCAGAGGTCCCCCGTGCCCAGCTCTTCCCCGCTCCTCCGCCTGGAGGCCTGATCCACTCACCGAACACCTGGGCGCGGGGGAAGGCGGGGAACTCCTCCAGGCGGCGGAAGAGGTTGCGGTGGGTGTAGGCCAGGTCTCCGTGCAGCTTGCGGAAGTCGCTGTACCGCTTCCAGACCACCACCTGCGAGAAGCAGGGACTTGATGGGCCCAGCCCCGTGGGAAGAGGCCTCCCCATCCCCTGCCTGGCCCAGGGTCAAGGGCGCTGGTCTCCGCACAGAGTTACCAGCGGTTGCGCCTTTCCTGTCTCCAGACCTGGAATGGGGGGATGGCCCCCTTCTTCCCAGGAGACTCACCTCTTTGACATCCTCTGGGTCTCTCTTGGAGATGAACTGAGGAAAGAAGGCAAGAACCAGGTGAGATCAGAGACTGAGATCAGAGACCGACATCTGTCATCCCATCACCCTGTAAGATCCTAGGATGCCTGGGTGCCTCCCAGCTCCCTCAAAGGGCAGTCAGGGGCCACCGGCCACCATATCCAGGTGTCAGGCTTGCAGACTTTGAGTGTCTTCTGGGCGGTTTTTCTATCAGGCACCTCCGTTTCTTCATCTGTCAATTGAGAGGACCCCTAGAGGTGGCTCCAGACTCCTCCATCCTCAGCCCAACTTTTATGTCAGTTCCGTCAAAGGGCCAAGTCCCTGCAGCTCCTTCTGAAACCAAAGAACCCCAACTTCTCTAAAAAATGAGGTTCTGTCCCAGGAGCCACTCCTTCCTACAGGGGGGAGCCTCTGGGGATGGACACTCCTGGACAGAGAAAAACCACCCCTGGGCTGTGACCACTGGTGGAGCAGACAGGCCTGAGGTAGTAAGAAGACTCCAATGCACGGTTTTGTTCATAATAATTTGATAATAATTGGAGTGCTTGATGGTTTTCAAAGTAAAAGAAGCTTGTTTTAAAAAACCACTGAAGAATATGTACCTAACGAAGGACTCGTATCGGGAATATGAAGAACTACAAAAAGATAAGACAAATAACCCAACTTAAAAAATCTGGCAAAATGGGCAGAATACTTGAATAGACACGTCCCTCAGAAAGAGACATATGAGTGGCCCATAAGATCATGTTGTGGTGGTGTTTTTTGTTAATCCCTACCCAAGGATATTTTTCCCATCGATTTTTAGAGAGAGTGGAAGGGAAGGAGGGTGCAGTAAGAGAGAGAAACATTGATATGAGAAAGTCGTATCCATTGGTTGCCTTCTGCACGTGGCCTGACTGGGGCCTGGGACTGACCTGCAATCCAGGTTCATACAGGGAACCAAACCTGAGACCCTCTGGTGGGTGGGCTGCCACTGAGCCGCACCGGCCAGGGTGCCAATAAGGTTATGAAAATACATTGAACATCATTTCTCATCAGAGAAATGCAAATTAATACTCCAATGAGATATTCCACACCCACCAAGAACGGCTAAAATTAAAGATGCTGATGATATCAAGTGCTGGCAACAATGGGAGTATAAAATGGAACAATCACTTTATTATTTTTTTAATGTACATTTATTGGTGTTAGAGAAAGAAGGGAGAAACATCAATGTTGTTCTACTTATGTATTCATTGGTTGCTCTTAATGTTTGTTTTTAAATTACTGTACTATTTTCTTTTATTTTTTGTCTTTTTAAAAAAATATATTTTATTGATTTTTTACAGAGAGGAAGAGAGGGGGATAGAGAGCTAGAAACATTGGTGAGAGAGAAACATCGACCAACTGCCTCCTGCACACCCCCCACCGGGGATGTGCCCACAACCAATGTACATGCCCTTGACCGGAATCGAACCTGGGACCCTTCAGTCCGCAGACCGACGCTCTATCCACTGAGCCAAACCGGTTTTGGCATGTGTGTGTGTGTGTGGTTTTTTTAATTGATTTCAGAAGAAGGGAGAGGGAGAGAAACATCAATAATGAGAACCATGGATGGGCTGCCTCCTGCACGCCCCCTACTGGGGATCAAGCCCACCACCCGTGCATGTGCCCCGAACCTCCTGGTTCATGGGTCGAGGCTCAGTCACTGAGCCATACCAGCCGGGTGAACTGTATACATTTTTAAAGTCATAGACAAGTGTTTTTGGTTTTGTTTTTGTAATTAAAAATAGACTCTTTAAAGGGCTTTTATGTAAATATCCAACAAATCCAAAAACCAAACTTACTTTGAGAGATTGGAGAACTAACTAATATTTGGAGAGCTAACTCTCACCCGTGAGCCAGAGATTTCACGTTAATTGAAAGAAATTCACAGCCTGAAGCCCAGACACCACACTTTGGGCGTGGGTACCCCAACTCCCAGGTCCGGGAACGGCAGTCCCCGCCCCTTTAAGAGGACAACGCCCGCCCACGGCCCCGCCCCCCGCCGGCGCCGGAGGCCCCTGAAGACTCGCACCTTAAAGGGGACACCTATTTCTGTCCGCCAAACACGGCGCTCCCGGCGGCGCCTCGCCTTAAGGTCAGACACGGCCCCTCTCCGTTAAAGGGGTGAGGTCCCCCCTCCCCGGCCCCCTCACCTGCGCGGTCACTTTGTACTCGGTGTAGCCCTTGGGGTGCGTCCGGGGGTCGGAGACGGTGTAATGCCGCAAGAAGTCGTCCTTAGCTCGGCGGGACATGGCAGCCCAGCTGGGCCCAGCCGCCCGCCCGCCCCGCCCTCCGGGTCCGCCGCCGCCGGCCGCCGCCGCTCGCCCTCCGCCCAGGGAGCCGGCGCAAGTGACGCGCAGTTCTCGCCGGGCACGCGGCCAAGGGAGCGTCTGAAAAGGTCGTGGCAGCTGGGAAAGCGTAAACTGGGTGGTGTGAGGATAAGGTTGGGCCACTCCTCCCTGCCAAGCGATCAAACCCCTCCCCCCGCCAAAATGAACCCTCATCACACATCACACGGCTTCTCCTCTGCTTCCCAGCCCCCTTTCACCCATTCACCCCATTTTCACTGTGTCCAGTATGAGCCGGACACAGCTAAAGGATTCTCCTGTCTCCCCCCCCATAGGATTCCCTAATTCTTGTATTCTGGAAGGATGGGGGGAGCAAAAAGAACTCCGGAGAAGCACGTTGGGGTCAAGGGTTCTGAAGTTACGCTTCTTACTAGGTGTATGACTTTCCCACAACGACTCCAGCCTCAGTTTCCCATCCCCAGGATGGGGATATTGTGATAACCTACTGCCGTGCGTGTTTCTTTCCTCCCGTCCCGTTGCTATCGTTTTGGCGGTAGTTCTATAGCACGTGTAGCCCGTCAGCCTCCTGCTCCAGAATCGAAAGGTGTCACCTCCTTTTCTTGCCCCAGGTCCCAGGTGAGGGTGAGGGACGCTCTCCTGAGACCTTGAATCTTGAGTGAAGGACGGAGGGCACAGTGCCTGGAAGGAGTCCAGCGTGTCCCTGGAGTACAGTGTTGGCTGTGGACTGGCTGCCCAGCCTCTGTTTTCCACGCCAGGACATCCAGTCTCCTTCGGGATGCTGGGGGTCCCCAGTATCCTTCAGAGAAATGTCCTTCTGACTGCAGGCAGTTGCACTCTGTTTCTGAGGCAGGCCATCACGGACCCTGACGATGGGTCACGTAAGCATTCATGACCACTTTTGTTACGAGAACTCAGGTGTGTGGACGCTGTTTGTAGAAAGAATCACACAGCAAATTCCCAATTCAGACTCTTGGAAACTCAGAAATGAGGTAGGTCATGCCGGGACCGGTTTGGCTCAATGGATAGAGCGTCGGCTTGGAGACTGAAAGGTCCCGGGTTCGATTCCGGTCAAGGGCATGTACCTTGGTTACAGGCACATCCCCAGTAGGAGGTGTGCAGGAGGCAGCTGATCGATGCCTCTCTCTCATCGATGTTTCTAACTCTCTATCTCTCTCCCTTCCTCTCTGTACAAAATCAATAAAATAAAATAAAAAAAAAAAAAAAAAAAAAAAAAAAAAAAGAAATGAGGTAGGTCATGCCCTAACAGGTGTGGCTCAGTGGATAGAGCGTCGGCCTGTGGACTGAAGGGTCCCAGGTTCGATTCCGGTCAAGGGCATGTACCTTGATTGCAGGCACATCCCCAGTAGGAGGTGTGTAGGAGGCAGTTGATGCATGTTTCTCTCTCATCTCTCATCGATGTTTCTCTCTATCCCTCTCCCCTCCTCTCTGTAAAAAAAAAAAAAAAAATCAATAAAATAAATTTTTAAAAAAGAAAAATGAGGTAGTTCATCTAGGAGGTGTTGGGGAGTTGGCTGGGATGGGGTTCCTCTAAAGACCCCTTCAGACATGGTGGCTGCTTTCCAGACCTTTCTGGGCAGGGCTGTGGCTCCAAGTCTCCTTCTCACCCATCATCACCTCCCTTCCTGGCCCAGTAGCTCCCAGTGCCCCCCTTTCTGCTCTCTTTCTTCCCGCCCCCTCCAGGGCCTTTCCTGTCTAGATCAGCGTAGTCTCTGGCCTTCTCCAGATCACCGAAGGCCACAGTTCTGCTATCAGGAGAAGCAAACAGGAGCCCTCCAAGAAGGTCAGGGTGGGGAGGAGCCGCCAGCGCAGCTGCAGGGACCTGCCCCCCACAGCCGCCTGCTTGACCATGTGATGCAGATTTTCTGCCCCAGCTCCAACCCCCGGCCTTTGTGATGAGTATAATGGCCTCCTTATTTCCCTAACGTGCGTCATTCTCTTTAAATCCAGGATGCTGCTGACCAAGGGCCCCGGGAGGACTGGAACATGGGTGACTCACCCAGACCAGTGGATGGCCGAGTTCATATTGCTTGGATCTGTTTGAGCTCCTAATGGCTCATATAATGGTGATTATAGCTAGCTTTAATTTTGATAATTATGTCAAACGATAATTATAGCTAGCTTTAATTGAATACAGTGTTGAAGACACAGGACACCCACCCATTTGGTCCTCATCACCACCCCAGGAGGTCGGCGCCGTTCTCTCTCCGTGGATGGGGAAACTGAGGCCCAGACAGGTTAGGCGATTTGCTCAGCATCCTCCAGCGAGTAGCACAGCTGGGGTCTGGCCCCGGAGCCCGGATGTGTTCACTCAGTGCAAGATTTGGGCTGTGGGCTCCATGTGTCTCTCGCATAGAGGACAGACAGGGCAGGCGGCTGTAGTGTTCCACCGTGAAGGACAGTTGATGTTCGAAGGTTTCCACCCAACCCCCACTTCCCGTATTTCACCCCAGCGGAGCCCCGGGGTTGACAGGTGTCTGCCCCTCCGGGAAGGGGCCCGGAGCTAATCAGGAGGAAACCCAGTGTCTCTTCCTCCTCTGCCTTGGCAGAACTACCTGCTCTCATTACACCCTCCCCTGCAGTTCGAATCTTGAGAGAGACAAACACTGAAAACAGTTACAGGGCTGAGTGCACTGGGCCCACGTCTCAGCTCCCCACTTCCTCGCCGGCGGCTCTGAGCAAGTGTGCAGCCTCCTGGAAGCGCGCTCCCAGACACGGCCCGTGGGCTGCCGAGAGCCTGTACTCGGGTCCTTCTCCAACGCGGACAGAAGCCTGTAAGGTGAGCAGCTGCTGCTGAGACCGCAGCACAGGCCCCTGTGGACTGTCATCCGTCGGGCCATCCCGGGTGCCTTTGCTCCCATCCTCCCAGCCCAGCCCCTGCCTCAGTGCCTTCAGGAAGGCCCTTCCAGGCTCTGCTCTTGGTGAGCTCCTGCCTGCGGCCTCACCACTCCCTGTTTCCCAAGAGCCCTTGCTCTTTATTCCTGTCACGTGATTTCCTCTGCTTGACCCTGTGGTGCCTGTACAGCCTGCAGGCTGTCCACTGCATGTGGGCTCCTGGCGCCGCAGGAAGTTGGGAGCTGAAACTCGGCCCGTGTTCCGTTCAAGAAGCTGCGAGTCCTGGTGCAGAGGTGGATGTGTACCCTTTTCTAACCCATGCCTCTGAGGGCAGCAGTCGCTCTGTTAACTGTCCTCTCCTCTATCCAGAGAACTCCTCCTCATCCTCTACTCCCAGCTTTAATGTCACCTCCTCCGGGAAGCCTGCCTGGACTCTCCCAAATGCAATCACTGCAGCCCGGTCCTATGCTTCTGGACGCTGCACATCCCTTAGACGCAGCACCAGTCAACCTCTGACTGGAGTGATCTGGCCCTTTGCTCCCTGCTGGGCTGTGGGCCCTACGTGGTCTCTGAAGCTGTTAATTAGCACATGACTCAGCCGGGAATCAGGCAAGGAAGTTTATTCTCACAGCTGAGCCTGGACAGCAGCAGAGGCAGCCCCCTCCCAGCCTCAGCCCTTGCCTCTCGGTGTGGCGGCTGCAGGAGGGCCGGGTCAGGAGCCAGGGTGACAGCCAGGGCAGTTGCACACCCGCCATGGGATTCGGGCTGGACGCTTGGGATCTGGGCTGGCCCATGGGGTCTGGGCTGGCCGTGGAGCGGCAACGGGCGGCAGCAGCAGGTTACGAAGGGGCGTGGAGTGTTAGCTGGGCTGGCCGATTCCCATCCTCCCCCGGGTGGTGCTTGTGGGGGGCAGGGGGGGCTTGGACTGAGGTGGGGGCGCCTGGAGCGGCTCAGTCGGCTGTGAAGATGCGGCTGGAAATGTCGTCGAGCAGCCAGTCGATGCCGGGCAGCAGGTTGTCCCCGGTGACAGCGCTGCAGCCCTGGATGCACCAGTGGTGGCTTCGGATCGAGTCCAGCTCCAGGGCCTGAAAGGGAGGGACGTGTGGTGGGGCTGGGAGCTCCCAGCCCGCCGGCCGCTCCTGGCCCCGGGGAAACCAGTGCTGCCTCCGGGCGCTGCCCTGGGGTGTTCCCAGCTCCCCAGTGAGGACCTCCCGGCACCAGGCTCTCTGCACTGTCAGCCCAGCGCTACCCCTTAGGAAGGAATCAGCATCTGTTAGGCTCCAGGCATCGTGCTGTGGGCCCCACAGCGTCCTCACCCACTCCTCCCGAGTCACACCAGCCGGCGCCTGTGCTGGCCACCGACCGATGAGGGAACCACAGCGGAGAGGTCAGGCCCCTGCCTAAGGTCACACAGCCAGTGAGAGGCAGAACCGAGCTCCTAACCCACTCTTCCTCCTCCCGGTGCTGAAGCCCCAGAGTCAAGGTTAAGACTGGGGTCAGATAGGCCTGTGGTTAGACCCTGGCTTGTTGGCTGCGTGAGCTTGGGCGAGTTAACTGGCTTCACCTGCAGAGTGGTAACAGTTCCCACTTCATGAGGTGGTTGTGGGAACAGAATGATTGGGCCAGGCAGAGCCTCGCACACAGAAAGCACTCAGGTCTCGGCTACTTTATCCTGTGGAATGACCTGTTTGCGTCTGCTCCCCCCCCCCCCCCCCACAGCCTTACTGACCACAGAATCTCCAGTGCCCAGGAGGTCCTGCCACGCAGCGGGGCCCACAATGCTTTTAAAATAACAAACACGCGTCTCTTCCCCTCCGCGGGCCTGAACTCACCTCCCGAATGGCGTTGGAAGACAGTGCGCCCGGCAGGTCCTGCTTGTTGGCGAAGATGAGGAGGGTGGCTCCTGCCAGGCGCTGGGGAGACAAGCGGGGCCGGGGCTCAGAGAGCAGCCCGGCTCCTCCTCTGAGGAGCAGCTGGAGCCGGGCCAACCCGGAGCCCGGGGCAACGCGCCTGGGGGGGGACTGGGGCGGGCAGTGAGGACGCTGCCTTGGAGGCCGGGCGCTCACGGGGGTGATGGAGCTGTGGTTCCAGCCCAGTAGCCACCCAGCGGGCACCCTCCTCCTCCATGCCTCCGCTTCCTCCTCCGTAAGCGGGAGGGGTGATGGGCTGTGGTCTAGAGCACTCCCCCCTGGTGAGCTGAGTGTACAGAGGCCCGGGGTCTGCTGGGAAGAAGGGCCTTTCCCTCCTGCACATTCAGAGCCCTGCCACTGCCACTGCCCTGCCAGGCCGCTCCGCCTGTTTTTCCTTACAAGTGTTACATGCTTTTCCTCACATGTGTTACATGTGTCACATGTGTTCAGTCCTGGGAGCTGCCCTAGCTCAGGCTGAACCTAGCTCGGGCTCTATCTCACTGGACCTGCTCGACACCCTGGGAGGCAGCGACTGCTGTGCCAGGTGACCGTGCGGTCCTGGGTGCCAGGACAGCCCCATCCATGCCTCTTGTCCCCTCGTCATTAGCAACTCCCTCTTTCACTCTCACAGTGGCCTTGCCGAAACCGGTTTGGCTCAGTGGGTAGAGAGTCAGTCTGCGGACTGAGAGGTCCCAGGTTCAATTCCGGTCAAGGGCATGTACCTTGGTTGTGGGCACATCCCCAGTAAGGGGTGGGCAGGAGGCAGCTGATGGATGTTTCTCTCTCATCAATGTTTCTAGCTCTCTATCTCTCTCCCTCCCTCTCTGTAAAAAAATCAATAAAATATATTTTTTTAAAAATCAACAAAATATATATATTATATATGTTTTTAAAAAGTTTAAATGCAGTGTAGTTAACTAGATCAAAGCCCGGAGCAGAAAAAGGACATCAGTGGGAAAACGGAAACAAAATCTGTCGTTCTGAGAGTGGCTGCCCAGGGCGAGTTTCTCAGTGGGACGTACAGTGATTACGTAAGATAGTAACAGGGGAAGCAGGCAGACTATCTTCCTTATCTTGGCAATTTTCCTGTAAATCCAAAATTCTCCTTTTTAAAAAGTGTTCTGGCCCAGACAATGAGTTATAAGATCACTCTAGTTATAATGCCCACCTTAGAGATGAGGAAGTGAAGGCTCAGAGAGGGCAAGGGCCTTGCCTGAGGTCACACAGCGAACAGGCTACCTCCTGAGCCAGGCTCCGCTGCTTCCCAAAGCTTCACACACTGGCCTGCAGTCCTCCTCCCTAAAGCTGGGTTGGGGCGGGGAAACTGGAGCTCAGTGTGGTGGAGCGGTGACATCACAGGCGTGTGGGCTCGGGTCTCGGCACCGTGGGCACAGGGACCAGGTGCACAGGCGGCCTCTGCCTCCCCACGTGGGGCGCTGGGCACACGGGGCGGGCTCGGGGGTCTGCTGAGGCAGGTGGCCACACGTCCACACACGCACGCACGCACACAAGGCACCGGGGCCTGGACGCAGGTGCGAGCCCGGCTCCCCTCCCCTCCTCCCCGCTCCGCCGGGCCCGGCCCACCTCCTCCACCAGCAGGCTCTGCAGCTCCCGCTGGCAGTCCTGCATGCGCTGGCGGTCGGCGCTGTCCACCACCCAGATGAGGCCGTCCGTGCTCTCAAAGTAGTTCCGCCAGTAGGACCGCAGGGACTTCTGGCCGCCGACATCCCAGATGTTCAGCTTGAATCTAGGCAGGGAGCGGGTGGTGGAGGGTCGGCCTGGCCCCTCCCCCTCCCGCCCCGCCTTGCCCTGGGCTGGCCGGCCCGCCGGCCGGCGGGACCGCTCACCCCCGGTGCTCCAGCGTCTTGATGTTGAAGCCCAGGGTGGGGGAGATGGTGTCGATGTCTTCTCCGTTGAACTTCTTGAGGATCGTGGTTTTGCCGGCGTTGTCCAGGCCGCTGGGGCGCCCCGGGTTAAGGAGAAACCCCCTTGACCGCAGGGTGGGGACTCGGTGACTGCCCCTCTCTTACGGACAAATCATTTCCCACCCCGTCCCAAAATCAGCTGAGCACATAACGGGCCCACGATAAACGTGGAAGTATCAAGAAACAAGATCCTAGCCGGGACCGGTTTGGCTCAGTGGATAGAGCGTCGGCCTGTGGACTGAAAGGTCCCGGGTTCGATTCCGGTCAAGGGCATGTACCTCAGTTGTGGGCACATCCCCAGTGGGGGGTGTGCAAGAGGCAACTGGTCGGTGTTTCTCTCTCATCGACGTTTCTAACTCTCTGTCCCTCTCAATTCCTCTCTGTGTAAAATCAATAAAATATATTAAAAAAAAAAAAAAAAAAAGACCCTTATCTCCTCCTGACCAAAGGCTCCTTCTCTAACTCCATAGCATTCACTGAATCCCCACGAAATGCCAGGCCCTTCGGTGCTGAGGTCTCGTGTGGAGACGGTGATAAGAGTGTAAACCAACGAGAAAGCTGTCAGACCCTGGTGAGCATTAGAAAAACAACGGAGAAAAACACAAGAGATCCCGGAAGCGGTGTGGAGGGGCCATCAGAGGCGCCTCCTGGGGCTCAGGCGTCAGGAAGGCCTCTCGGAGGGTCTCCAGGTTTCCGTCCCTGCACCTGCTCTCCCCAGGTCAGTCCCCGAAGCAGCCGTCTGGGTTCCTCCCCGGAGGAGTTTGCACTCACTGTCCCTCTGCTTTCAAGAATGTCCCCAGACATCGACCTGGTTCACCCCTCACCTCCCTGTCTTCACTTCCTCCAATCGGCCTTCCTCCTCCAAACATACTATCATCCCCTTATTTATTTCATTAACATCTTTCTCCCTCCAGCATCCTAGAATGTCCATGAAGGTCCGAGTTGTTTATTTGGCTGTTTTACCCCAGCCCCTAGGACAGTGCCCAGTACACAGCAGGCGCTCAATATCTACAGGGTGAGTGAATTCTCTGTGTTTTTCTCAAGGTTCTTTAAAACGGACATGATGTGAATATTATTGAGTTATTTGCGTAGGTGAATGTATTCTCTCCCAGCTAGCGGATCAGAATCGGGGTGAGGGCAGCCCAGCTCTGGGATCTCAGAGTCGTTCCCCCGTGGGGCCTGGGGCAGAGGCGGGCGAAGAGTGCCCACGCCTGTTAATGGGGCTCGGGAGGCTGATGGGGCCCTGGGGGTCCACTGACATCACAGGCCGTGGGCAGCAGAGGCTGGACAGTTCGACCCCCCCCCGCGCAAGGACCCTCGCGGAGGCTACACCTGCTTCTCCAAGGAGCTGAGGGTGGGGCCACCCCGGGATTCCGATCTTGAGGGCGGGGCCGAGGCCTCACCCATCGGACAAGGGTAGGAGGGTGTTGAGAGCGCGGATAGCGGCCCCACGCTGGGCCAGACTAAGGGGGGTGGCGGCCAGTTACTCCCAGGCCCCCCTCCCCCTGCATGGGACACCTGTCCGGCCGCAGCGCCCTCAGGCCCACAGCTTTGGCCCCCCGCCCGGCCCCCGCCAGAGGGATTGGTAGAACCCACGTGCGTGACGCACAAGGGGCAGTTGGCACCCCGCGCCCGGTAGGGGGCGCCAGCACCGCCCGCCCGGCGGGGCCCCGCTACCCTGGCGGCTCCGCTCCCGGGAGGATACAGCATGAGCAGCCGCAGCTCCCGCTCTTTCTGCTTCATCTTCTTCAGGATGGTCAGGAGGCCCATGGTCCCCAAGCCCCCACCCGGCCGCTGTTTCTTCCTGGTCCGGGGACGCCTCTCCCCGCTCCTATTGGCTATCACGCCCCACCGAAAGCACAGCCTATTGGCCGTCCCTCTCTTAGTCCCGCCCTCCTCTCACGTGACCGCGAGGTCACGGGGCCGAGCTGCTCGGGGGGGGGGGGCCCTCCAGTGGCGCTGGGGGCTCCCGCACCGCCACCTGCTGTAACCCTTCGCACCCCGAAGGCACGGCCATTCCTCCCTCCCCGGGACCCCGGGCTCCGCCGGGGACGGAAATCCGAGTTCCCGGGTTTGTCTTGGCTGCACGGAGAGTAACCGGTAGCCAGGTTGCTGACGAGCTCGTCCTGGGGCCAGTGTAAGGCTCTGTTCCCCACAAAAGTGGTCCAGACCTTCCTTGGGCCTCTGGCGTCATCCTGAGCCTCTTACAGGGCCTCCCCTTTCCCTGGCACCTGCCATCGTGGAGGGTGAGCTTGGGGGGGAGGGTGGTGGAGGTGTTTCTCCATGGAGGGTGGAAGCGCCCCCTAGGGGACATTTGGAAATGTGCGATGACGTCATCGTGTTAACGTCAGGATGGGAGCAGATCTGCCTCTGGGCCTATAGCTTTTTTTCTTTTTTAATTAACTTTTTAAAATTATTTCATGTATTACAAATAGGAGTACATATGTCTCTTTTTCTCCCCCCTTGACCTCCCCACAGCCTCCCCTAATCCCAGCATATGCCTTCACCTGCCCCCTTCCCCCAGTGTCTTGTATCCATTGGTTATGTTTATATGCATGCATACAAGTCCTTCGGTTGATCCCTTACAGCATCCCCCGCCCCACCCCCCCCAACCTCCCCTGCCTTCCCGTGTAGTTTGGCAGTCTGTTCAATGGTTCTTTACCTCTGTATCTATTTTCCCCCCATTTCTTTTCTTTAAAAAATCTTCCAACTGCAGACTAGAAATAAACATAAAATAACAAAAAAATGTCTGAGTCCCAATTTCAATGTTCAACAGTTTTGAGACCCAGTTTCAATGTCCAGTAGTTCCTTATGTGTACATGTCAGCAATGACATCTGGATGATGGACAGATGGTGGCAATGCAGGTCCGACCCTCTCTGGTTTGGTCCTGGGCAACCTGCAGTGACGCACAGCTGCTGACTGCTAGCGTGGCAGGGCATTGTCAGCATCTTCCATCTCTGGACTGTAGCATGCGGGCTCTTGACTTCCTGCAGGAGCAATTGCACAACCTGAGTCCAGTTTGCTGACTAATGCTGGGCTCAGTGAAACAGGAAGGGCTTTGAAGAAGAAGCAACAGGAGACACTAGCTGAGCTGCTTGGCTCTCTGGAAACATTACGGAAAAGAAGTTAACCAGCCGAAACCGGTTTGGCTCAGTGGATAGAGCATCAGCCTGCGGACTGAAAGGTCCCAGGTTTGATTCCCGTCAAGGACATGTACCTTGGTTGCGGGCACATCCCCAGTAGGGGGTGTGCAAGAGGCAGCTGATTGATGATTCTCTCTCATATATGTTTCTAACTCTCTATTCCTCTGTCTTCCTCTCTATACAAAATCAATAAAACATATTAAAAAAAAAAGTTAACCATCCCCACCCCCCCAAAAAAGAAAAGTGAGCCGGGGGGTGGAGGGGAGACAGTTGTAAGCTCAATGGAGAGTCAGAAAAGGGGGCCTCGGGGACAGGTTCGGGGGTTAGCAGGGAAGAGCTGCCGCTGCCCATTGCTCCCCTGGTTGCAAGTCTCACAGGTGCTTGTCTGTTGGGAACAAGAGGGGAAGGGAAAGGTCAGTGTGCTCTCAGGAGGGAGACAGGCTGGGTGGGTCCTTAGCCGTGAGGGGTTGAAAAGCTGGGGACCTAGGGGGGTCTTCGGGGAGGATCTCCAGCGAATATTCACCAGCTTTTCCAGGTTATCCTCTCAGGTCCCGGTCTCCACGGATGGGGCGTGGCCAGGGCAGGGGGCCATCACAGCTGGTCTTGGTGCCACTTGCCTGCTTTTGCTGCTTTTCTGGGCGAGGAGCTGAAACACAGCTGAGGCCCAGATGTTATCTCGAGGGAGGAAAGGTCAGGGGTCTACACTGCATGGCCAGCGATATGCCACGAAGGAACCAGGGGCGGGGCCTGGAACCAGCTTTGCTCTTCCTGGCGGTAAACTGCTCACCCAGTTTGTGCACCTGTTTGTGTTTCCCCCTTCCACGTGCCAGGGAATTGCCTTGGCTTCTCACTCTCCTGCCTCAGTTGGATTGTCCCCATTACCAGAGAGGTACCTGTTGTGTAGAAAGCAGGGGAGAGCCGGGACTGGTTTGGCTCGGTAGATAGAGCGTTGGCCTGCGGACTGAAAGGTCCCGGGTTTGATTCCGGGCAAGGGCATGTACCTTGGTTGCAGGCACATCCCCAGTGGGGGGTGTGCAAGAGGCAGCTGATCAATGATTCTCTCTCATCGATGTTTCTAACTCTCTAGCCCTCTCTCTTCCTCTCTGTGAAAAATCAATAAAAAAAATTAAAAAAAAGAAAGAAAGAAAGCAGGGGAGAGACCTGCACAAATAATCACTTCGCTCGAGATGCCCCCCACTTCTCTATGAAGAAGCACAGTTCTTGGATTTATTGGTGCTGGGCAGAGTGACTGGCAAAGAGCAGATGCTCCATACAGGTTTGTTGTCAAAAGAATGACTTCAAATGTTTGTTTCTTGACCTTATGATCAAGGACAGAAAAAAGTGAAGCTACGGATGCTATGCTAGGCAAACTGTAAACTCAGAAAGGCGTGCCTTACCTCTTATTTTGAGCTCTTTCCCCAGCCCCCTGCAGGGTAAATGCTAGTGGGCAGCACAGAGAAGGCTCTGTCTCATACTTGGGAAAGAAGTCAGGCTCTGGGCAGTTGCTCAGTGGTTAGAGCATTGGCCCATGGATCGAAGAGTCTGAGGTTTGATCCTCCATGTGGGAGGCAACCAATAGATGTGTTTCTCTCTCGTTGAAATTTCTCTCCCCGCCCCTCCTTTCCACTGGTCTGAAAATCAATGGAAAACTTATCCTCGGGTGAGGAGTAAGAGGAGAAATCAAGCACCAGCTGAAGGAAATGGTGGATTTCTCTGTAATTGTTTATAAAGCTCTCCAGGTTTCCTGTTCCATCCTCCTGGCAGGATGAGAGGTTTATTTCCCGTTGGTAGATGTGATGGCGGCGTCCAGAGAGCTTACGGTGTTGAGACAGCAATTTAAACTCACGTCTGGCTGACAGTAATGTGCAGTGTTTCCCGGGTCCCTAAGAAATCTAAGTATAAACCTGGCTGGGTATCTCACTGGTTAGAGCCTCCTCCTTATACACAAGGTTTTAGGCTCGATCCCCAGTCAGGGCACATATGAGAAGCAACCCATAAATGCATAAATAAGTGGAACAACACACTGATTTTTTCTCTTTCTCTAACATACATTAAATTAAAATCCAAGTGTCTTCAGTGGGGATCAGTTACCTAAGCTGGGGTGCTGTGTGGTAAGTTCCAGGAAGCCTCTGAGAAGTGTGAGTTGGGGCTGCCCATGCCCTATTAAGTGAAAAAAGGGAACTTTGATCCCATTTTAATGTTAAAAATAACAATAACCCACTAAACCACGTGTTTCAAACTACGGGCAGCCGGTTAACGAGCTTGTGAAATTACTTCAGTGTCACTAAGTCGGACCACATGGAATCGCCTGTAAACAGAGTGAAATGGACGGGACGCACTTCTGCCTTTGCCCAGGAAGGGAGGGTGTTGTGTTTGTTCCAGAGAGTTCCATGGATGTGTGTCCTGCTCCCTGAGGGTCAGGTCACAGACATGTGGAAACCGCCGCAGTTCCATGGCCACCTCTGGAGGAGGCTTCAGGGAAACGTGAAATGATTACCGCAGGCACTTCCGGATTGCTGGATTCACCAAGGCCACCGGCACGGCAATCCTGGTGTAAACGTCAGGCTTCGCACCCTGTCCTGTCCACGCTGTGGTCCTGGCCTCCAGGGGCCAGGCAGCAGGATCGCAGTGCATGTCAATGGCAAAAGCCTGGGAGCTGTGAGAGAGCAGGAGGCCAGGAAGTGGCTGCGTTTCCCTGTGGAATGCTGATTGCCCATTGCTGGGAGGCCAGGCGGGGCCGCAGGGGTTTTAAAGACTCTGGTGGGAGCCCGTGCCAGGCAGATTCTCATTCGCCTGGTAGGAAGGAGGAGGGGTGCTCTTAGGGGAGTGAAATCTGTAGGGAATACCTTTGGGAGAGAATGGAAAGAAGATCTGTAGTTATATATAACTATGAATATATTCACGAGACAGAGTCATGAAATTAAAATACCTGCATTCTGACAGCTGTGAAATCTGCTTCTGAAGGGAGGGTTTCCGAGTGGATGGTAGCTGCTTTCAGAGAGGTGTGTTTACCCAAGTGTCTGAGGAGGACCACTTGAGGCTGTAGTTTTACATTTAAGAGAGAGATTTTTTTTTTTTTGAGAGAGCATTTTTGATCCAGCCATGCACTTCAAGTATCACCTTTCAATCATAAAATAAAAATAAAACTGCTTATCCTGGACCAACACCACCAGCACCAACAAAAAGCCAGGGCAGGGCCAAAACCGGTTTGGCTCAGTGGATAGAGCATCGGCCTGCGGACTGAAGGGTCCCGGGTTCGATTCCGGTCAAGGGCATGTACCTTGGTTGCAGGCACATCCCCAGTGGGGGCCGTGCAAGAAGCAGCTGATCGAAGATTCTCTCTCATCGATGTTTCTAACTATGTCTCTCCCTTCCTCTCTGTACAAAATCAATAAAATATATTAAAAAAAAAAAAAAAAAAAAAAAAAAGCCAGGGCAGGGTCCCTGTTTGACTTATAATGGCTGATCATGAAGCATTAGCAAGAGGTATAGCTGGGCACTTAACTTATTTGTGTATATTTACACATCCATTTCTAAGCTTGCTCTGGATGACATTTCTATTGATTCTTTAAGACGATAATGTACCCAGATGAGGTTGAAAGTTACAGTTTTGAGAAGAGAAACCCTACGTGTTTTCTCAGTGAGACACGCCTGTGACACAGGTGTTCTTTGTTTGGACCATGTGCTTCTGACGGAAGCACCGACCAGCACGCGGGAGCAGCACAGCCAAGTGGAGGTTTTGTCCTTATTTGTAAACCAAGAACTGGATGTCCGAACGTGCGGCCTGATCACTGAAAGGGCAGCTGCCTGTGGACCGCCCTGCCGCGGCCTGCCCTCGGGGTCCCACCGGGTCAGGATGCAGGCGGCCTGCCCCAGCCAGCGCGCTCAGAGCAGCCGCAGCTGAATGCCTCATGGCACCTTCGCCGGGCGTCGGCGTGGGAGGCGGAGGAGGTGTCCTCTCAGCTCCGGAGGACAGAATGAGCTGTTCCTCACACCCTGCCCTCCACTCCCGGGCACACGAGCCTCTCAGGCCTTTCCAGAAATGAGGAACGGGGAAGGATGGAGAACCTGGGCTCTGCCAACGACTGAGTTCACCTCCCCCTGCCCGGGCATCCTCCAGAGCAAGGCTGTGCCCACTGTGCCTCCCGCGGCCTGGCAGGGCCTGAGGGGCGGTGCGCTGAGCCTTCTCAGCAACCTGAGAGCAGGTGCCTGTTACCTCCCAGTGACGGGTGAGCTAGGAGCTCCACACACCCGCCCAGGAGCCAGCCGCAGCCTCTCCGCCAGCCCCCTCTCCCCCTTTCCCCTCCGTGTCACCTCCCTCTCTCCAATGCTTTGCTCCAATGTCGAATGTCTCAGAAAATAGTCTTCAAATATCTCAATGAGGCCCAGCCTGACCGCTGTTTACATTGGAAGCTGCTTAACCCCCACCCACATTCCCCAATCATTTCTTTGGCTTTATATTTCCCCACAACACTGACGGCCTGCTGCCAGCCCAGCCCATCGCCTCGATGTATCACATCCATTCTCCCCACTCGCTCCCGCCAGAAAGGCAGTCCGCAGGGCAGGGATTTGGCTCTCTCTGTTGTTTGTTTTATTGAAAAGCCATCGACCTACATCGCTATGGAAGCTTAAGATGTACAGGATGGGGGTTTGATTTGCATGTGTTGTGATTACCACAAGCTTCAGCTAACATCCATCCCCTCCCACAGATGCAATGAAAAGAGAAAGGCCCGACCGAGGTGGCTCAGTGTTTGAGCATTGACTTATGAGCCAGGAGGTCCCGGTTCAATTCTGGGCCAGGGCACTTGTTCAGGCTGAGGGCTCAGTCCCCCGTGTGGGGCGAGCAGGAGGCAGCCAGTCAGTGACTCTCTCTTGAATCCATAGGGCCTGGAGGTGTCAGTCTCCCAAGAGGCCTTGGTTGGCTCCAGCCGCAGCCAGAGGGGCCGTGAAAGGGACACATCCCTTCCCTTTACATTTAGGGAAACTGAGTCCCAGAGCGTGCACTCCCGCTGCTGGTGAACCCCGTTCTTCTGGGACCCTTCCCAGCCTTTCTTCTGGATGGGCCCCCTCCCGGCTTCAGGACTCACCCAGCACCTTCGCTGCTGCTACTCTGGCTCCCATCCCTCCCCATGCTGACCCCCCAGCAAGCTTCTGCCTTGGGTACGAGCGCCCCTGCCCTTCTGAGGGCCCTGTGCCCCGTTATTTTCACTCTGGGCCCAGGAGACGCTGGCTGGAGTGGTGAGGCGTAGCCAGTCTGCCAGGCTCTGCTACCTTGTACTTGGCTGAGTCCCTCCTCTTGCTGACTCTCTAGACTATCCAGGTCCCTCCCTGGGGGAGCTCGCACAGCCATTTATGGTTAAACATTACCCACCCCCTCCACCCCTCCCTGCCACTCCTCAGCGGCATCAGGCCATAAACAGTCTTCTCCGTCTTCCTCCAGGGTCGTGGCCTCCTGGGAGGGGCCACAGCACACTTACGGACAGTGCCCACTCCAAGCCGGGGTCTGGAGAGGGGAAGACGGGGGTGGGGGTTCGGGTCTGGGGCCAGGGACTCCCGCCCCAGCCGCCTCCTCCCCGCAGGATGGTTTTGCTTTGTTACATCATGCCTGTGGCTCCCCGATCCTCCTGCGGACTGCCTTAACGAGCCCCGGAGGTGCTGTCTCGCGCAAGACGCCCAACCCTCTGGTTTCCGGGAAACAAAAATAATTCGGAGAAATCGGGGGGGGGGTCTCACTGCCTGGGGTGCCCCGCTCCGGCCTCTGCTCCCAGGCCCCTCAAGTAAGGAGTGCCGGGCCCAGCTGTCACACCCAATCCCATCCGCCCAGCTCTCTGAGTCTTCCTCCTGCACGGTTTACGCTTTGGTTACATGTTTACACGTGCATGTTTATCACCCTCACAGGCATTCCCTTCAGATCTCGTCCCGCTGTGACGGTCACACAACTGGATGTGACGGACTCACAGGCTCGGGGATCATGAGCTTTGAACCCCCGGCGGGTGGCAGCTGTGATTCTCTATGGAGCCCTCCCTCTGCAGGTCTCAGCACATCTCATCTCCACAAAACGGGTTCTATGTCCACTTCACAGGCTGGACGCAGCGGGCAGGAAGGGGGAGTCACACACCTGCGTCGCGTAGCTTGCTTGGCAGCTGCGAGGCTGACACCTTCTCCACGGCTGGAGATCTCTGAGTGAGAACCCAATCCTTTGTGCATCTGCCCTCCTAGGTAAGGGCCACTGACTGTTTTTGCCTCAACATTGGTCTCAGAGGATTTGGCGTGACTTTTCCTGGTTCCTACAATAAGCCTGTGAGTGGGTAGTTTTTTTTTTTTGTTTGTTTGTTTTCAAAATATATTTTAGTGATTTTGTACATAAAGGAAGGGAGAGAGATAGAGAGTTAGAAACATGAATGAGAGAGAAACATCGATCAGCTGCCTCTTGCACACCCTCCCTCCGGGGGATGTGCCCGCAACCAAGGTATAATACATGCCCTTGACTGGAATCGAACCCGGAACCTTTCAGTCCCCAGGCTGACGCTCTATTCATTGAGCCAAACCAGTTTCGGCGGGTAGTTTTTTTTGTACTTAAAAATATATCTTATTGAATTTTTACAGGGAGGAAGGGAGAAGGATAGAGAGTTAGAAACATCGATGAGAGAAAATCATCCATCAGCTGCCTCCTGCACACCCCCTACTGAGGATGTGCCCGCAACCAAGGTACATGCCCTTGACCGGAATCGAACCTGGGACCCTTCAGTCCGCAGGCCGACGCTCTATCCACTGAGCCGAACCTGTGTTGGCATGAGTGGGTATGTGTATCATCCCCCACGGTTTTTGCAGGTGAGGAAACGGAGGCTCCGCCGGGTGAATCGCCTCTCACAGCTGCAGGCTCCAGGGTGCCCGAGCTGGGCCGGGAACCTGGCTCTTCCAGTCCCAGAGCCCCTCAGAGCCTGCCACCCCGAGGCCTTCCCTGGCGCTGTCCCTGGCAGCCTGCCCTCCCTCCCCAGCACCCTCCCCGCACCTGGGCTTTGATCTCCCTCCTCCGCCCTCCTCCCACAGAGCAGCCCAACCAACCGGAAGGCCAGTGCCTGTGAGGAAATTCCAGCCACGTGAGCCACCCGGCCAGGGATTCTGGGCAGCCCGTGGCTTTAGGAGAAACTGAAACTTGGCTCGCCGGGGGCGGAGTGGTCACTGGGGATTTAAAAAGCCACCACTTCCTTGGGTTCCCAGAGGGCACTGGGAGGTCACAGCAGCCGAGGGACACTCTGAGCAGATGTGAGCCTTTGCCCACCGCCCAGGCCATGCACCTCTGTGCGGGGGAGGGGCTGCTGACCGGGACGGTGAGTACAGGGTCCAGGGAGAGGGGAGGAGAAGGGGCATGTGCCTGAGGGTCCCCGGAGCCTGGTGGGGAGATTACGGTCAGAGCTTCTCATCCCAGCTCTGTCCCCGGGCTGGGCCCCGCCTGACTCCGGCTTCAGGTCCCTCGGGGGTCAGAATGAGGCTTCCAGCTCTCACATTGCACATCCAGTCTCCAGGTTAGAACTTGGCCTCAATAGTGTCTCTCCTACCCCATCTGCTCTCCCTTCACTGCCCTGAGGGCAGCCTCTCCCACCTCCTCAAATTATCCCTGAAGGCCCTGCGCCTCTCCCAAGACCCAGGACCCAGAGGCCACCCCTTCTCTCGCTGCGGATCTTTCCCCCAAGCTCCAGTCTCCCCTCCCCTGAGATTCCTCAGCCCCCGCCCTGCCTTTGGAATGGGCCTGCTGTGGCCAGGGGCCTAGGAGCATAGCGTCCTCAGCCAGGAGGCCGGGTCTCACCTGAGCTCCCTGCACTGAGGACACACCTCCCCGAGGGACCTGAGTGAGGGGAGGCTGGGTTCCCGGGCCTCCAACCCTCCGTCTGGCCTGACCTTCCAAACCTCTGGGCACTTGGGTTAAATAGTTCATCTAAGTATCATGGAGCCCTCATCTGGGGTCGGGGGTCGGGGGTCAGGGAAAGGTCACAGCTGTCACTGTGAGTCCACTCTCTCATCAGAACCAGCTTCATGCGTTCATGCTAGGCTGTTGCCCTGCTAGAATGTGAGCGACTTGAGGGCGGGGAAGGAAAGGGCCCTGCGGTGTCCCCCTCACTCAGAGCCTGGCACACAGTAGCTGCTCAATAAATCTGAGCTGAGTAGGTGACCTCTGGGCCTGAGTGGAGCACGGAGCAGTCAGGCCCGCCCCCTCACGGTGGGCAGCTAGGGAAACCACTGACTGTGCCGCGCCTGCGATGGGGGGTGGGCTCCAAGGGAGCCAGAGGTGCTTCTGGGAGAGAGGGGACCTTAGGGGACTTGACTCGGGGAGGGCGTGGCTTTACAAAAGGCCAGGATGGAGGGCACAGGCCGCTGCGGGCCCGAACCCTTCGCTTGTGCCCTGCAGGACCCTGAGGGGCAGCAGAGGCAGCTGAAGAAGCAGCAGAAGAACCGGGCATCTGCCCAGCGCAGCCGGAGGAAGCACACGGACAAGGCAGATGCCCTGCACCAGGTGGGGTCCTGCCCTTCCCCCCAACCCTCCTGCCTGCGCTGACCAGGCCCAGCTCCCCCCCCTGCCGGCGCTGACCCGGCCCGGCTCCCCTCCCTGCCTACCCTCCCAGGGCTCACGTTGCTATGGGGAGGCGGGCAGACACAGGAATGGCTCTCGAGGTGACTGGATGCCAGTGGTGATGGCTGTGGGGACCAATTAAAGCAGGGAAGCCAGGGGAATGTGTGGGGAGGGGGTGGAAACCCAAGGGACGCCCTCCTTGAGTGGTGACATTTGAGCAGCATAAGGTGGAGAATGAATGAATGGAAGGATGGATGGATGGATGGATGGAGTGACTCCGTTTCCGGAGGCGAATGGAAGCTTTGGAGAATGTAGGTGAAGGGTGACCTAACGGCATTTTAAAATGTCATTCCACGTGCAGAGACCAGCCTGGATGGGCTGCTGGTGGCTGTGACGGCTGTTGGGACTTGGAGTCCATGACCTAAGCAACGTTTTTATGTAAACCACTCTTCCAACTTCTTCTTTCAAAAAGTGTCCACAAGAGGAGGGTGAGGGAGGAGGCCGGAGGAAGTCATTCAGCCTCATGAGCCGAAGAAGTAGAGTGTTTTTTGTTTGTTTGTTTGTTTTAAATATTTATTTATTTATTTATTTTAATTCTTCATGGTTTAAACTTAACTGGTGGTCCGTGAGGTCTGAAAAGTTGGTGACCACTGGTTGAAAGTATTACTATGTCTCCTTTTAGAGTCCTTTCTGCTTCTTCCACCTCTGCTCACAAGTGGTTGTTTAGAAATGGAGGTTGATTTTTGGCCCCGTGGGCTCTCAGCACCCAGCAGGATAGGGCCTGACCTGAGCTGACCCAGGGACGCTGACCAGGACCCGGGCCTGGCGGGCGGGCAGGGCGCTGGGAGGGCGGGCAGGGCGCCGGGCAGCCTGGAGGCATCCGGGCAGGAGGCTGGGCTGCGGGAAAAGTCACCATCAGGATCGGCCGGGGAAGGGGGCGCTGGACGATGTCCAGACAGAGGGGACAGGAAGTGCTCTGGGGAAGGAGAGCCCATCCAGGGGCCGGAAGTGGGTGGGTGGGAAACGCTGAGAGAGAAAGCTGAAGTGTGAGCTGGGATCCCCGCGCACAGGGAGCGGGGAGCTAAAGGCTCTGTGTCTGGCTAATGACAGCAGCCCAGTGGCTCCCCGGGCCAAGAGCACAGGTGGTTTGGGAGTCGCCTCAGGGAGGAGGCTGGTGGCTCCCAGGTGAGTGAGGATAGGGGCCGCACACCTGAGCCCGGGAGGAGTAGATGGGGGAGACTTGGTGGTGGTGGTGGAGGCCTGGCCAGAGGAGCCAAGGGCCCCCACTTGCTCGTTATCTTTCCCTCGTTGGGAGCCTGAGGGGTGGTGAGGGGTGGGGTGGATAGGGCTGGTGCTGAGCCCCTAGTGCTGACCTCCCCCCCCCTCCCTGCAGCAGCACGAGTCCCTGGAGAGACACAACCGCGCTCTGCGGAAGGAGATCCAGGACCTGCGGGAGGAGCTGGAGTGGTTGGGTCGGACCCTGCACATGCACGAGCGCCTGTGCCTGATGGGCAGTGCCTCCTGCTCGGCTCCTCTGCCCCCTGGCTGCTGGGGCCAGGCCGGGCGGCCCCTGGGCCCCGAGCTGCACAGGCAGCACGGCTGCCAGGAGTTTGTGCTCCAGCCCCCAGTCTCCTCTCCCCCGGCTCAGCAACTCTCTCCACACCCGCAGCCTGGGGGCTCCCCTGGCCCCCTCCTGTCCCCTCCGCCCTGGCTGTCCCCGAGCCCCAGCCCACTGGCGCCTTCCTCCAAGCTCAAAGCGCCCCCGCCCCACTCATCAGCCCAACCGGCCCCCCACCAGCCCCCTGGGCCGGAGCACCTTGGCAGGGGGAAGCTGGTGCCCTCTCCGCTCAGGCCCTCGGCTGCTCTGGGGCTGGCCTGTCTGCAGGACACGGAGCACAAGCCTGCTTTCTCGGCAGCAGAACAGCCCGGGCTCCACGCCTTCCCCCTGCTCTCCTCCGCTCAAGTCCACTTCTGACCCGGCCCCTGAGCTGGGCTGGCCCTTCCTCGGGCTCAGGGAGCGGCCTGGGCACACAGCCTCTCCTCCATGGCACGGCCCCCTGGCCCAGGACTTCCCCAGGAAAAGGAAGCCGTCACCGCGTGCCCGCCACCGACCAGGCCCTGCCACCACCGCTGTCTTATCTCCCCTCCACGGTGACCCTGCACAATCCGGGCGACCACTTTTTCCGAGAAGGAGACAGAAGCTCCGAGAAGGCAGCAGCGACGTGTCCAAGGTCACACGGCCTTTCTTGGGACCCAGAACACCACTATCAGCCGCTTCCCCTGCCGGCGGGATCCTGCCCAGGCCCCGCAGGCTGGAGTCCGGAAGGCAGGCTGGTGTGCGGATGTATGAGGCTGAGAGCAGGAAGGAGCCCTCCCGTCTGCTTTGTGATTCCCGGGACCACAGGGCGCCGAGTCCCTGAAACCGTGTCCTGGCGAGGGGTCCACAGTCCAAGCCTGGGTGGCAGAAGCCTGGCGGGAGCCTGGAGGGATCCTTCCTTCCCCTGAAGGGCTTTCGGTTTCAGAACTGAACCGGGGGCGGGGGCTGGGGAGAAGCCTGGACAGTCTCCCTGGGGTTTCAGCAGGTGGGGTGCCTGAGCCACACTAAGACCTGGGGAGGTTCTGCAGGGCCACTCCCCAGGCCTTTCCCAGATAGCTCCCCGCCTCCCTCCGGCCCCAGGCCCCGTGAAGAGGGGGGTGACGTCCCAGAGAGCCTGCACCCTGGCACAGAAGGCGGAGGGAAGAGTGAGGGAAGGGCCAGGTGCAAGGTTCCTTTAAGCGCGTGCTGGGCATGAGCCTGGCAGTGGGAGCCCCGTCTTCTTCACAGCACCCCGCCCTGTGCGGCCCCCAGGCCCCTGGATCGGCGGCCCTCACTGCTCTTCGGTCTGATGGTTCCCGGAAGAACAGGGCCCGGGAACCAGGCTGGTGCTCAGCCACAGCGTCTGCTGCAAACGGGGTTCTCACTCAGACCAGGACCGGCGCCGGAAGGGGCTTCAGATAAGAGCCTCTCTGTCCGGACGGTCAGCAGGCACTCCGCTCGCGAGCCTTAGACACACCCCAGGTGCCGAGCCTAAGTCTCCGCTCATTGCCATGGTGAATAAAATGCTTCCTGGTTCCTTTTGCTTTGGCTAATGGTTTAAAGCTCTGCGTGTACACTGTACTACTGGAAACAAAGGGCCTCTGAAAGGAGAGGGAGAGTTTTCTAGAATCTTAGGGGTGGGCAGTCCCTCATGGACCTCCTTATCTAACCCCCCTCCCGTATTTCAGATGAAAAAACTGAGGCCCAGCCAAAATTGGTTTGGCTCAGTAGACAGAGCGTCGGCCTGCGGACCAAAAGGTCCCGGGTTCGATTCCGGTCAAGGGCATGTACCTTGATTGCGGGCACATTCCCAGTGGGGGGTATGCAAAAGGCAGCTGATCGATGTCTCTCTCTCATCGATGTTTCTAACTCTATCCCTCTCCCTTCCTCTGTAAAAAAATCAATAAAATATATTAAAAAAACAACAACCCTGAGACCCAGAGGTGGGATGGACTTGCCCAAGGTCACCCAGCAAGAGTAGGTGCGATGGTCACAGGATTGTGGGTGGCAGCAGCTGGGTCACCAGAGGTTCGGGGAGAGCAGACTGGTGGGAGGGAAGCCGAGATGCTAATTAGAGGGACCAGAGTTGACATAGTGGCACATGGACCAGGACTCGAAGGGGGATCAGGAGACCAGGGTCTGACTTGTGTCTCTGTAGCTAGAATTTGTCAGGCACCTGCTTGTTTTACTTGGGTTAATTCAGTGACACCCCTAATAACAGTGTTCAGAAGGGGAAACTGAGGCCCAGGGGAGTTAAGTACCAAGTTCAAGGTCACACAGCTAGGAAATGGCATAGAACTGATGCAACATCAGGACCGTATGGCCACAGGCTATCTTGGCTCCCCATCTTTTTCCTGTAGGCCCCGCATGGAGGGACAGCCACAGGCTAATGGACATGACCCAAGAAGGTCTAAGCCTTAAGTTTATTTATTTATTTATTTTAAAATATATCTTATTGATTTTTTTTACAGAGAGGAAGGGAGAGGGATAGAGAATTAGAAAAATGGGTGGGAGAGAAACGTCAATCAGCTGTCTCTAGCACACCTGCTCCTGGGGATCAAGGTACATGCCTTTGACCTGAATCGAACCTGGGACATTTCAGTCCACAGGCTGATGCTCTATCCACTGAGCCAAACCAGTTAGGGCAGCCTTCCTTAAGTTGATAACAAATAAGAGAGGGGTGTGACTAAATTAGCCTTGGTACACTCATACAATGATGACTGAAGAGGCCCTGAGAACAAGGAATGCTTTGAAGAATATTTAATGAGATGAGAAAATGCTTGGACGTATTAAGCAGGAAAAAAAAATAGAATGTGCAACGGTCACTGTAGTTGGATATTCTGCTTGTTTAAAAAATATAAACTGAATGGAAGAAGTGGACAGAGGTGGGGTTGATTTTGGAGGGCTATGTGCTGATATCTGTGAAGCCATCACTATTGCAGGAGCCTTCCACATGCTCAAATAGCTGGGAAGAATCTATAGCTGAGCGGATCTATTGCTACAGAGCAAATCACTCCAAACCTTATCCTCTCACGGTTTCTGTGGGGGCAGGAATCTGGGCGTGGCTTCGCTGGGTGCCTCTGGCTCAGCCGAAATATTGGCCAGGGCTGCAGCCACTCGAAGGCTCGACTGGGGGAACTCAGTTCTAGGCTCTCTGCGAGGGCTGTCTTCCGGCCTCAGGGGGCCCCTTCCAAGCCCACTTCCAAGGCTGGTGGCAGGAGTCTGTTCCTCGCCGCTGTTGGATGGGGAGCTCAGCATCCTGTAGGCTGTTGGCTGGAGAGGTAAGCTCCTTCCTGCGCCGGCCTCTCCGCAGCGCAGCTCCGAGCCCGAGCTGGCTTCTCTAAGGCAGCTGAGAGCGAGGAAAGGTGAGCACATGGAAGCCACAGTCTCTCTGTAACCTAATTTCAGAACCGACATCCTGTCAGGTTGACTGTATTCTAGCAGTAGAGGCAAGTCCCTGGATCCAGCCCACACTGGAGGAGAGAGGACACAAAAACCAGGAGGAGGTCAGAGGCATCCAACCCCCCCCCCCCCCAGCTCCTTTCCTAGAGACACAGCCTCAGGTTAGCCTTGCAGCAAGCACAGGCAGCCGCTGCCTCCTCAGAGGTGTGCAAGAGGCGGCTGATCGATGTTTCTCTCTCATTGATGTTTCTGACTTTCTCTCTTCCTCTCTAAAAAATCCATAAAATATATTTTTTTAAAAAAAGATCTGTCCACCCAGAACTATGAATGCATGTGACTTTATTTGGAAAAAGTATCTTAATATATTATTGATTTTTTACAGAGAGGAAGAGAGAGGGATAGAGAGTTAGAAACATCAATGAGAGAGAGACATAGATCAGCTGCCTCTTGCACACCCCCGACTGGGGATGTGCCCACAGCCAAGGCACATGCCCTTGACTGGAATCAAACCTGGGACCCTTCTGTCTGTAGGCCGATGCTCTATCCATTGAGCCAAACAGGTTTCGGCTGAAAAAAGTATCTTTGCAAATGTAATTAAGTTAAGGAACTAAAGCTGAGATCATCCTGGATTACCCAGGTGGGCACTATATCCAAGGACCAGTAAAAGCAGGTCACCAATAACAGGAAGAGAAGACTCCGAGAGAGAGGCCCTGTGAAGACAGAGGCGGAGACTGGAGTTCGGCAGCCTCTTGCCAAGCAATGTCAGGAGCCACCGGAGGCTGGAAGAGGCAGAGAGGGCTGTTCCCCCGGCCGGCAGAGGGCGCCTGGACGCAGGGAGGCAGGGAGGAGACGTTCAGGTGAGCGGTGGTGGTCACGGCCACGCCTGGTGCCTGATGGTGAGAGGTCGGATTCAGGTGTGCTTTACCGGTAGAGCCGATGGGATGTGCTCAGGGATTGGAGGAGGGGAAAGGGAGGAAGGAAGTATGGTGTTGTGGTTTGGGACCTGAGCAATTGGTGGTTGGTAGTGCCAGGGACCAAGGAAGATTGAGAGAGGAGCAGTGTAGAGTGTGTGCGTGTGTGTGTGCGTGTGTGTGTGTGTGTGTGTGTGTGTGTGGCGGGGGAATCAGGAATCTTGTTTGGGCCATGTTCAATTTGAGATGCTTATTTGTCATCTAACTGGATAAAAAAGAGGGCAAGTGTGTGTGTATGTAGGGGGGTGAGGGGAGTGGCCGGGGAGAGGTCAATGGGAAGAAAAGGAGACTCATGTAATACTTTATTTTAAAAAAAATATATTTTATTGATTTTGTACAGAGAGGAAGGGAGAGAGATAGTTAGAAACATCAATGAGAGAGAGTCATCGATCAGCTGCCTCTTGCACACCTCCTACTGGAGATATGCCTGCAACCAAGGTACATGCCCTTGACTGGAATCGAACCCGGGACCCTTCAGTCCCCAAGCCAACGCTCTATCCATTGAGCCAAACTGGTTTCGGCTCATGTAATACTTTAAATAATAAAGAATTTAAATAAAAAATGTTTATATCAATAATACCTACATTTCAGAAAATGGAAAACAATCCAGATGTTCCATCCATAGTACAATGAATACATTGTGGGATATTTTGCTCAAGGTAATGCTACAGGGCAAAGAGAATGATCGGATTACAACCACTTAGAACAACATGAATACACGTCACCAAGCTAATGTCAGGCTATAGAAACCAGACACAAAAGAGGAGACAATTTGTATAATTTGTTTATATAAAGTCTAAAAATAGGAGAAAAGAAACCCAATCTACACTGTTAAAAGTCAAGGTTATGGTTACAGGGCAAGGACAGCACCCAGAGGAGGACACGAGGGGCCTTCTGGGTACTGATGCGTTCTGTTTCTAAATCTGTGTGGTGGTTACGTGAACGTATCCATTATATGACAGTCTGGTGAGCTGTATGTTTATGATCTGCGCTCTTTTTTGTGTTACGTCTGATATACTTCAATAA